AATCCACGAGGGCACGAGACCCGGCATCATTGCTGACGATCCCTGGAGACGTAAGGGGTCAAGCTGTAGAATTGCATTCGTATGTGGGGCACGCGGTCGACACGCGGGAATGCTTTTTACGATCGCCGCTCAAAATCTCATGCGGCTCTCCGCTAACTTTTAGGATCACTCAATCTGAAGCAAAGTTATCGAACTCTCAACTTGATTACTTCTTTGTTGGGGTTGTATTGTCCATCAAAAATACAACCGAGCCATGGCGGACAGTGCGCGCTTGATCGCGCGGTCATTAAAGTGTAGAAAACTCGCAGCCTGATTCAGTGACTCATCGTAAAACGATGATGTAAGTCAAAACGCGAGTGTAAAGATTGCGGTGTTTCAAAATAGTTGTCGCTTTATTTTTTAAAGTTAAAATAATCGGTCATATTTAAAGCTTTTACAAAATACAAATTCAACATTAGAGTAATTTTATTGGGTAAGTAATATTCATGCCTGGAAGTCCAACCCTACATTAGTCCCTTCGGATAAGTTAGGGTGTCCTAGGGAAGCTGCTGATTTTCGAAATTGATAGACAAAGCTATAGACAAAAAAGACAAAAAGAAATTGGAGCGATCCTGTTGTATCGAGTGGTTACAATGGACAAAGACGGTAAGTAATAGACTAACTAATAGTAACCCACGAGAGATCCTATAATTAATCCACCATTTCCCCCTTCAATCGATGAGAAACACCCATTTCAACCATAGGACCGCCACATTCTCCCTATGTCTTCTTTGTCTATGGCTTTGTCTATCAATTCCAATAATCAGCCCGCAGCCATCCTAAGATTTCATATAACCTTTTTTTCCTACCAGGTATCTCACGTTACTATAAAAATCAAGATTTGTTCGTGAGAGCCAAGAGATCAGCACTATATTTTGAATTACTTCCACAAGTTTTCATGAAAGAACTTTCGGAGGGTTGGTTGCCCTCTGAACACCAAAGCTTCAATCAAATGACGTGTACCTACACGCTCTCTCAATATGATTACTTCATTTTTCGTAGGATGAAAAAAAATCAGTTAAATATTCAATAAATAATATAGCATCTGTTAGTTTCCCTTTGAAATTATAACATTCTTAAGATCTCGATGACGCTTTATATCAAGTAACGTGTTTTTTAACCGTATTGTTTTTTAATGAAAGGATCCCCACGGTCAGCGTTTACAGAACCACTAGACAATGTCAGAAAGAAAGCATCAGCACACATGCCCTTTTTTTCTCTTGTCAGCATTTTATTTGACATATGTTTGACGTACTTAAAATTGCCAAATTCAAACTTTTAAAACTAATGTTTTTCATTAGTTCTCGTGTCCTACAAAAAGTTTGTTTGGAGTGAATAATTGACAAAGTTCTCCTCCTTTTCAACTCCTCACTCAACGCTTAAAACAATCGAAGCGTCCCAAGAGGATCGCCCCGTTGCAGTCTCCAGCCGCTGCACTTCCTGCCGATCGAGCCCGTTCAGATGGTCTGCGCGAGACAACCTAGCGCGCCTTCAATATTGAAGATACTTCACGCCTTACCGCAGAGTTAGTTTAGTTGCGTGACCCAACTGAACCTACTTTGTCGGTCTTCGCGCACTGACTGTATCACTGTTGTCGTTTGGATCTCTTTTAAATCGTAAGATTGCAAGGCCAGCAACCACGGCTACGACAAAACTATGAACGTATGAGACTCCCCAGTTTAATGACTCCACACGAAACACTGAAAGCCACCTGTATAGATATCAACTCAATCCTTTTAGCACAGAAAAAAATAGAAAATTGTGCTGTTTTTCGATTGCTTGCAAGTTTTAGACTTTCTTGGAGCTCATAAGGCCAATATTAACTTACAAAATGACAACAAAGTTCTAGACGTAATAAGAAATTTACAATTTCTTACCACTAAAATTAGTCATAAATCGATGTGGAAACTGCAGGAATGTGTACCTTGGTTTGCGGCGTTGCGGAGTTCCTGCCATACTTTATTTTCTGAATGGAAAACTACCGAACGTAATTTTTTTTTTAAATGTCGGTGATTTTTCTTCTCTCTACGAAGAATATCCTGTGAAAGCAGGGTATTCTTCGTAAAGAGAATCTTTGATATGCTTCCTTTTAAAAAATAAAATAGAGGCAGAGTTTTTGAAACTCCGCACCCTAGATACACATGCTTGCAGTTTCACCATCGAAATAAACTTCGATACATATTTTTGCCGAGTTACATTTTCCTTGTTGAGAAAAATAATTTCTCCACAAAAATTCGATTTTCTCGAGTTTGGATCTTTTTTGGCGCTTATCCCGATCATCGTGAGGAAATCTCTGGATTAAACCCAATGGCATTTTTAAATAACGTACTATATATAGGGGGTCACGCCCCTGAACAGCTTCACGGTACAGTTCCCGCCTCAAGTGTTATGCGTTACGCGTTACGCTTTACTTTTATTATTTTATACTAGGAGGTCCGCCCCCTGGCCGCTACGCTACGCCCCCCCCCCATAGGCCCGCTTCGCGGCCGTCAAAATCGTCGAAATCGCTCGTTGGCGGTTAGTGAGCTGGTAATTTTAATTGAATAACAAAACGACGTTACAAAGAAAAATTCTCCGGCAAACAATATTCTTAGTGACTTTCTCCTTACTCTGAATTTTGATTCCTTCTTTGGAATTCGACATTTGGACAATTTAATCTCCTTCCTCATCCCGTCCATCGAGCGTCTTAAAAATGATTTTATTAGAATTCATGGAAAAAATTCAATTGCTTATTTAACAATTCGATCTCTAAAAGAAAATGACTGCAATGTTTGAATGTAGATTTTACAACAAAAAAATGCTACTTTAACCTCCCCCCGTGGTTAAATTAGCTTACAAAAGTGGTTAAAGTAGCATTTTTTTGTTGCAAAATCTACATTGAAACATTGCAGTCACTTTTTTTAGCAATCGGATTGTTAAATCAGCAATTTAATATTTTCCGGAAGAGAGGATTATAGAGTCCGATATTTTGAAGATTTTGCCAAATCCTAAATATATTTTGAAAATATCTTCGTCGAACCGGGCACGCTGGAGCAACAGGCCCCCTGATTCAGGAGTGGCGCAGGAATCCGACACAGCCCCCGGCCCGATCGGACGATGTATCGCACGTCCGATTGATACAAGACCACGTCCGGGTTCCTGCGGCTTGGCGCGGCGCAATCTCCAGGAGTGGAATGAATCCCTGGCGACTGCGGAGTGCGGACGGTAAAAAACTAACCTCTCGGGCCAGCTCATTAATTTGTCAAGTTCTAAGTTGATCAAGAAAAGTGCGGTTACTATTCCTCTCGCTCCCGTCTGCGTCTTGTCCCCGGGTTCCGCTTCCCGGGAAACTTGGGAACTCGCTGCATAAACATGACCCAATCAACCGATTCATTTCCGAGTGAACGATTTGCCAAGATTGAAGCCGCCCCGACTGCAAAACGCGCAACCCCAAACTTCTCGCAGCCGCTCCGTTGCCAACCCTCTTTGTTTCCTCCTCCTTTCCAGCTTCCTCGTTCATCAAAAACAACGCAGCCGTGCTAGGGAAAAATGCTGTATGAACCTTCAGGCGTTGCCAAATTTCATTTGATAAAACAAGAATTTCCTGTTAAACTTATGATTATTGTTCTTCAAATTTTTTAGATAATTTTGCTCGCAATTCCACCAAAAATTTCTAAAAATTTCAAGGAAAAATATTCATAACTTTCCTTAAAAATCAGCATTTTATTGAAGGAAACTTAGCACCTCTCGAATGTTCATTGTTCATGCGGCGTTCTTCCTTATAGCACGGTAGAACGGCCGTCCTGCGGCTCGATTGTTGAATCGATTTATCGAATAACTTTAATCGATAAAAAGTATTGCTAAGATAGGGATTTAACGATTAGGATCATTCGAGAACGATTCTACAATCGACTCGCAGGTGTAAGTAAGTTTGCAGTGTTTCCTTTCGTTGCACTCAGGAGTATCGGTATTCGTGCAGATCCGTTCTTTATACTTTATCAAATCTAGGAGCGGTGACTTTTACGATTAATTGATCCTTACGTAATTTAGAGGAAACATTTCGCATTTAACTTTTACAATACTAGGGATACGCCCCCTGGTCAGAGTGCGGCCCAGCCCTTAGAGGACACTCCTTTCAATTCTCGTATTTCAAAGATATAAACGGGGCAGGCTCGTGTAGGGATTTTTGCCTGATGATAGCTGCAAAAATCATAAAAAAATCGATCGCTGCAGCAACCTTTAATAAAACATGAAAAAGTTGTATGGTTTAAAATGGAACTATCACAATTTTATCACATTATGTTAAAAAAAAGAAGAAAAAAGGGAAAAAAAACCTGGACCATACCTCGGTAATTTAAAGATGACGGGCTCATTTGGAGGTCATTGCCATCCTCCATTTAGGAGAGCAAAGTGTGAAACCACGTAACTCCGTTTGCGACGTTGCAGATTTTCTGCCAGGTTTCATTTTTTCTTTTGAAAGGTACTCAACGTAATTCCTTAAAAATGTCTTTGATTTGTCTTTTCTGACACGTCCCGAATTCCGAGACTTCTGTGAGACGCCGGGTCACTTTTTCGATACATAATCGATGTTTTCGATACACGGGGACCCAGCTATCCGATATAAACAAAGAAGACAGGAAATACTACACTGAAAAAAAAAATTGCTAAAATACGGTGACAAATCACCAAATTAGTTAAATCAACCCTGTGTTCTTAATCTATTTTGATGAGTTGTCACCTTTTTTCACTATTTCATGTGTTGATTTTAGCAGTTTTTTTTTTTTCAGTGTACATATTCCTCACCACCATTTTGCATCGAACATGAATCGACAAAGTGACCGAAGCTCGGCGCACACCGGGCTCGGAACTCGTCGACCAGAACATGGCGCCAGCTCTTCCATGTACAATACGATTCTTTGTACTCTATGATCAAACCACTATCGAATGCTATCTATATCCACGATTCTTTTTGTCTGTTGCAGGGGTGGAGGAGGCGGCGGCGGGGCTGGAGGATGCGATCTCCATGGAGAGCGAGGGTCCGCAGTTCGTGTCGGATCCGCGGTCGCCGCTGGAGTTCTCGAACCGGACGGGCGGCGTCCTCCACTGTCCGGTCCGGGGGAGTCCGCCGCCGCGCGTCACGTGGCTCACGGGTGACGGCGCCGTCGCCGCCCCGATCCGCAACGTCCGGGAGCTCCTCGCCAACGGCTCCCTCTTCTTCCCGGCCTTCGGGCCCGAGAGCTACCGCCACGACGTCCACTCCGCCGTCTACCGCTGCGAGGCCGCCAACACCGTCGGCAAGATCCTCTCCAAGGACATCCTCGTCAGGGCAGGCAAGTTCACCCCAGCATCTACATTGGGATAGTTGGACCGAGTTTAACAGAAAGGAACCAAGCCACATCAGCCATTGCCAAGTTTAACTGGGCAATTAATTTTTTTACGAGAGAGCGTTTGTTCGGATTTCTTTGAAAATTTTAAGGAATTTGCCTCATACAATGGGAAATTTTCACTGAAATTTACACAAGAATCCGCACAACCGTTTTCATGTAAAAAATTAAATTGCCCAATTAAATTTGGCAATAACTGATGTGGCTTGGTTCCTTTCTGTTTAACGCGGTCCAGTTAGAGTTCACTGGGAAAAAAAAAAACACATTGGATCTAGAGTCCAGACTCTTAAAAACATCGACAAGAAAAAATACTCTTGATTCAATCGGATTTTTGCTTAAATCAAGAACCAAGCCTCTTAATTTGAGCGGATTTCCTTTTGATTTAAGCAAAAATCTGATTGAATCAAGAGTCCTTTTTCTTGTCACTGTTTTCAAGAGTCTGGGCTCTAGATCCAATGTGTTTTTTTTCAAGTGTTAGTGGCAATTTTACAAGTTGGCAACATTGCTTTTTCTCCATTCAAATTTATTTTATATCGATGTCTTAATCGATTTTAATCCTCTGATCGTTTTACGTTCATATAAACAGGGAATGGAGAGTCTTAGTAAGACGTGATTCTACGAGAATCCCACAGTGGGTCAGTTGCGCTGGTCACAAAATCGTGTTTTGATGCTTGATTCTTGTACATTGGCTAAAAATAATAAGATCCGTCCAAATCGCAACTTTCTACGTTGAATATTAACCTAGATATCGCCCTGTGAAAAGTCGGGTTTTTGACGTCATCCACCGCGATAGTGACACCTTCAGGGCCGGATTTATCTACTTGCCGCCCATGGGCCGCCTGTATTTTGCCGCCCCCTTCTCATTCGTTTTGAAACATCAATAAATACCATCAAATGAACGTGCCAGCGGGGGCGGGGTGCATAAGACGCGTTTAGTCGTGTTGAACACATTTTCCGGGAAAGCCCTGTCAACAATACTAGCAAAAGTTCACGGAACTTTGCGCGAAAGTTAAGTTTCGTAGACCTATATCTCTGTGTGAACAAGGCCTCCCTTTCATAAGAAATGAACGAAAAAATTATGAAAGAACAAACATAAATGTGGATTACTGATTTTAACTTCCGCCGCCGCGCCACGCAGACCACACCGAGTTTGGCGCAATGCGTGAAGTATTCAGACAGTCTTGTAGGCGCTATGAGTTTCACGCCGACCGCTGCTGAACGCACTGTGTTTAACGCAATGCGTGAAGTATTCATGCATTCTTGTAGGCGATATCCGTTTCACGCTGACTGCAATGACCGCTCTGTGTTTGATGCAATGCGTGAAGAATTCGTGCAGTCTTGTAGGCGCTAACATGTGTTACATGCCGATCGTCGCGCCGAGGGCTTCTCCTTTTCATCTCAAGTCCTCGTTATTATTTCTCTCTAAGTCGCGCCGTTCTAGGCCAAATTGCGTGTTTGGTTTCTCTCGTAACGCGACTTATTTTAGGATGCTGTCTCTTGTATCACTAAGAGACGACAAAATTAGAAATTACTATACTCTCAGGAAATGAGAGATTTTGTCGCCTTTTCTCGTTTGTATAATTTTGTTTTTATAAATCCGATTTTTTTTTTTTATACCTACACTTTGAAAAATCGCAAAATGTGCCGCCCCCTATAGATTTGCCGCCATGGGCCGTGGCCCATGTGGCCGCCCCCTTAATCCGGCCCTGGACACCTTTGCCACCTTTGATACCTTGCCTTCATCAAAATTTTGCGTTGAGTAACCAGTGCGTCACTGATTGATAGAAACAATGTGGAAGAAACCACAGGTGTCACTACCGCGCGTGGTGGATGGAAGCCTAACTTCTCAAACGGCAATATCTCCGTTAATATTGAACGCAGAAAGTTATGGTTTCGACCATTGACGTATAATACAATCTAGACCGCGCATTGGGCCCGACTTTAGGCGGGGAAGGTAAGACAGCTAGGGGGGTAAAGACGCGCCTTCAGCCTAGTTGATACCGCCGGATATACGAGCGAAGTGTACCCGTATCAGGCAACGGCACTGATAAGACTGGCATTTCCATTGTCTCGGTCGGTACACTTACTGCGGTTGCTGGGTTGCCTATCGTCTCGCCTGAAGGGACTCTAGTCTTGCCGAAATTTCCTAATGCGCGGTCTAGATTGTATTATACGTCAATGGTTTCGACGGATCTCATTATTTTTACCTAATCCAAAATAGTCAAGCATCAAGACACGATTCTATGACCGGCGCAAGTGGCCCATTCGTCACCTCCCGGCCAAAGTGTCACAAGCTTCATGCGACGTCTAAAAATTTACGCCGCCATTTTATTTTTTTACACAGAAATTCATCAACGATGCTGTCCAAAAATTTCACTGGATTTTCTTTGTGCTGCCGATTAAATCCGGTGAAATTTTCAGACAGATTCAACCAACAATTTCTCTGTGAAAAAATAAAATGGCGGCGGAAATTTTAAAATGTCATATGGCGCTTGTGATACTTGCCTGGAAGGTGACAAATTCGCCTATTCTAACGTAAACAATTAACGCCGATCTCTCACCGATGGAATATTATTTTGAAAATGTTAAATATAATTACAGTGTTCTCAAAGAATTTTGTGTAATAAACCATACCCTCATCTGTTTAAGTATTATATAGGTGCCTATATCGAAGGTGCAAATTACGTTGACAACATGATATATTTTACCATCTTATCCTTTAATTTGCAGTGGTCGAACAAAATTACGATGTCCAAGTTCACGACGCCTACGTCACGGTAGGCAACACGGCTGTTCTCCGATGTGTAGTCCCTACATTTGTCAAGGATTTCCTTACCGTAACATCATGGGTGCAAGACTCATCCTTCAACATTTACCCTTCCATTCAGGACAGTGAGTAGTTCGAATTATTGATAGTAGACCCAAGAGTACCGTCATAGAGAGAGCATGGGCGCATACAGACTCCCATTGAAGAAGAAGACCCCAGAAGAACTTGGCCCACGTACACATTAGAGCTCATTGGCTACTCACAAAATTAATCGGCTCGGTAAATTTTGTCTGCGGTAGAAGTCGCTGACCGCAGCGAGTGAGCCCATTGGTGAGCTTTAAAGTTTGTGGAAGGGCAACGGTACATAGGATTCAGAGATATGGTTGCGACTCTGAACAAGAGGGAGTTATTGGCTGATTATATATCGTCAAGAATCAACAGCCGTCTCTAATCTCCAATTGTTGTCCATCGACATCAGAGAATAGGAAATAGAACCTGTTTCTGTTTTCGACGGTGAAAGTCGGCAATCACATAACTCGGTTTGCGACGTCGCAACTTCCTGTCATACTTTATTTTTTAAACGGAAAACTACTCAACGGTAATTCTTTAAAACTGCCGTGATTTTTCTTCTATGTGCGAGGAAAATTCTGCAAAAACTTCAAGGAATCATGTCCATTTGTTCTCCTTTAAAAAAAGAACATAGTTGCGGAGATTTTCAGACTCCGCAAACGAGTTATGTGATTGCCGACTTGCACCGTCGTATCTATTCGTTAGGCTCATTAAAATGTGTTGCCCTTCCTGGGATTTGAACCTCAGGGCCTAATGATCCAGAGATAGACGTGCAACTGCATAGTAAGAAAAAGTAACCAAAATTTTGTTTTGATGTGGAATAAAACACTGACAATGAGTAACTCAAGCTGTTGGTTAATTTTTTGGTGTTAGTATCCCCTGTGTCACCTCGACCGAATCTTTGTGTCGAAAATCCGCAACTTCGTTGAAAACTACTCGGCAGACATTGGCGGATCTAGCAAATTGGCAACATTGTTTTTCCTCATTTAAACCTATGGAAATGTACCGACTCTTGGAGGGGCCAGGTGTTCCGACAAGAATCGATTATTTAACATAAGTTTAAATGGAAGGAATCCGGTGTTGCCAAATTGCTGGATCCACCTCTGGTGGCAGACACCCGGATTGAACCTGAATCGCCTCGGTGGTGATCCAATGCAATAGCCACTCGCAAGTCACAACCGGTGGCGTGGCGTGAATTGCGATATATCGATTGTTATGCCATTTAAACCTATGGAAAAGGATCGATAAATAGGGTGTTCGCAGCGAACACCTTAATAATCGATTCTTTACCATAGGTTTAAATGGCATAACAATCGATTTATCGCAATTCACGCCACGCCACTGGTCACAACCTCTGAGTGTAAGGAGGAAAACAAAGAGTACATATATTTCGCAGGACATTTCACGCCCCGATGTCTCAGATTAACCTATGATTTGGGTCAATTTAAATCTTTTGGGTTGTTTTGACACAAAAAAGTAGGTAACACAGCGTATCACTGAGCACGGAGATTTTTAATTGTGTACTGTGCCAACACTGCCAACAGCCTATACTGTACTGAAGCGGCCAGCCGTTTTAAGAATAATTACTCAAAATGATCCCTTCTTCGTGGACGTAGGTAATAACCAGAGCTGATTTTGTACTACTCTTTTTTTCCTAGCGGACAGTAAATACAGGATGCTACCCACGGGAGAGCTTCTTGTCTATACTGTAACAGAGGCTGATTCTGAGGTCTCTTATCGATGCCGGGTCGTTCACAGGATCACTGGCCGGACGACCGAGTCCTCTTCACAAGGCCGTATCTTCGTCACCGGTGAGTCCATTCACTCGATTCCATTCCTCCCTGCATAATTTCATCAAGTTAAGTAAGAACATTTTTTTTAAGATGAGAGGGAAGTAGAATGCCATCGTCCCATTACCCTTTTGACTACTGACCGTTGCGTATATGTAACTCTTTGTCGTGGATATTAATGTGCATTGACTGAGATCAATAGAAACCTACCAAGTCCCTGGTAAAAATTGGCGATAAGAGCTGCGTTTCGAAATACCATAGGAATTCTTATAGCCGGCTAAAGAAGGCTACAGAAAATCATATAGCTGGCTGTAGAATGCGGAGAAAATCATACGGCCGGGCTGTACGAAGCGATAAAAAATTATGCAGCCGGGCTATACCTCCTATCGCCGGGCTTTACACTTTATCGCCTGGCTGTTGCTTTTTTGTCATCCATTATAAAAGGCTATAAGAAATTGTGTAGAAATTCTTATGCGTTGGAAATCATTAAGTTTGATACGGAACCACCTTAATATTTACAAAACACACATTATATTTTCCTTTAATACATATTTTTTTTCATCAATTAAAATGAGAATAATCCATACAGGATGTGCAAACATTTCAAAATCATGAGTTGAATAACGCTGACTCCGCCAGATTAAATATTAGAGCCTAACACAAAGCGGAGCGGCGACGCACTGGCGCCTACAAACCTAACAGGGATACTTCGCGCATTGCGCAACGCGTGAAGTATCCCTGTTAGGTTTGTAGGCGCCAATACGTGTTTCGCGCTGGCTGCCCGCCTGCCACGGCGCTTGAAGCACTATTTCACACCAGAGGTATTGCACAGTATCATACGGAACTGAAGGCGCTCTAATATATTAGTAATGGCAGGCATTCATCAAAAGTACGGAGCTTTCTTCGCAAAATAAATCAAGATACTACGGTCCAAAAAGAGATCAGTATTCCAAAAACTCACTAAGTCCTAGCATCCGTAATTAGTAACGTTTAGCATACACTTTATCGCCAGGCTGTTGCTTAATCGCCATCGGCTATAAAAGGCTATAAAAAATTGGGTAGCCGGCTAGCTATTGGAAATCTTACAACCGGCTGTAGGTCTATGGTATTTTTGAACACAGATTCTACTATGCCAATTTTTATCAGGGGTCGCATTCAATTTGAACCAAGAAAAAGATGTTTTGGGTTCCATCCTTCCAAAGGAAGTAATGTTCAGGACAAAATTTGACGACTATTCTGACGATCGACTTTGAATTTTGGACGGGAAAAAATTTACGACCAGTCGAACCCTAAACTATGCGATACTCACTTTTTTATTATGTATTTTTAAATTAGAATCATTAAAATATGTGAAGAAGTGTGTTTACATTTTTTTTAAATATTTTTTCATTTCGTTCCTCTTGAGCAAATGAAACGTGTCAGTTGGCTTTTAAAAAGCTATGAATGAAAACACGTTCACACTCTTTTAATGCTTACCTGTTTCTTTCCAATTGATTGAAAATATATAATCGTCATGACACGTAACGATGTGCTCCGTTATAAGACAACCATACGGACGTAAAAAAATGTCTGTTCGAATCTAAAAATGAGGAAGATCGAAAATTTTTGCTACTATCTTAAATTATTTGTTCTTTCTTCACACTGTAATCACCTTTATTCTCAATTATAATCCAAAAGGATAGTCTTAAAATTTTGAGACCAGGCATAGCATTTTTCTAACACTTGAATTATTTTAGAACTTTGTTTAATAGGTATAGACATTTAGAGTTACAGCAGAGAGTTTCTAACTCTCTCATTAGCGGGACCTGAAATTGAAATGAAAATTAAATATGAAAATCTGTTCAATTAAGACGGAGTTAACGGTGTTGAATTATTCAAAACTCTCTTCTCATACCTTTATGAATTTATTAAAATCGACGGAAATCACGGCGGGGCTCTGAAAATTAATTTTTTTATCGCCGTTTCTGGCGGTGTTTTCACAAAAATTAAAAGGGATCAATATAATTATGAAAGATCCCTGAACCGCTATCCTCGCAGCCAGCCACGAGGCAAAAAGCGCGCTTTTAAGTAGAGATGAACCCAAAGCTAAGACGAATAAATTAAAAAAGGAGAGTAACGATCATAAAAAGTGAATGAAACCGAGACCCCAGAGAGGAGGCGGAAGCGTTGCAGCGATGACGTAAAAAAAGGGAAAAAATGAGGAAGGGCATTAGCCCATAAAAACCCCAGGCGATGGATTAAAACTTACCACAGCAGCTTTTAATTATTGCAAGAGTGAAAATAAAGCCTCCCTTTCTGAGGCGGGGCCTATAGGTTTTACCTGTAGGACGTTTTTAAAGCACACTTTCGCGCCGTGCGCGTGGACACTGGCGCAGGGTGGCAAAATTTCATGAAAAAAAAAAACCCTTGAAATTGCACGTAAAATATTTCATGAAATTTCGAAAATTTATGAAATATATTGAAAGATACCGGTTCCTTTTCATGTTTTGCAAAATGTAAAAATTGTGACTTTCTTCTATTTTTGTGTGTTTGAATGCGGGCTGCATACTCCAGCCCCTGAAAAATATGAAATGTTTCACAGCCTCGTGGAATGTCCTAATCTTTCGTTTCTTTCTTACGTTTCATGCCACCCTGCACTGGCATCAGCAAAGCAACTCAAAGACGTATATTCCAAAAGTGGCGCTACAGAAAAAAAGTATTTTTAGTGCTCGATGCACATCTCTGTGAATATGTTTTAATGAGTAAAAAAAATCGCAGATAATTTCAAAAATAACTGAGTTTTCTTTTGAGAAATAAAACAAGAGCGGAGATGATCAACGTTGCGATTGGAGTAACTCATTTTTCGACTTTGACCATCAATTTGTATATTTTATCCAAACAATTATCCGAAATATACGGGTTGAAAGCATTCCGAAGTTTGAGAAAGTATATAGATAGTGATACTGACCTGTGATATTTACTAAATTCACCATATTATTTTACCTTCCTTCGCTGTATTTTCATAGTTAAAGCACCTGTAAGTAGATGTATTAACTAACCAAGCATTTGTGTACGCTTTCAAAACCTCATTGTAGGTGGACTGCTTTTGCACTAATATTATGTTCATTTCTTTTTACCAGTTTATTAGTATATTCTCAATATTTAAATGTCAATAAAATATTAATATATTAATTGCAGACGCCGACAGGTCTGAGGCACCGAAAATTAATGAACGTATTCCTCAAATCACTGTTCATGCGGGCGATCTGGCCGTTCTATCATGCACGAGTCAAGGAGTCCCGCCTCCGTCCTACTGGTAATTTTTGCCTCCACTTAAAGAACGTGTTTTGATCATGGTGATTGGTAACACAATATTTTGTTCATCAAAATTTTCATGCATTGAATGTTTAATTATACTAATGAAAAGAAGATCTGCGGCGGCGCGCAATGGAACGAATCAATGGGGGAAAACAAAACTTTGAAGTTCTAAAAGTGGTTACATAGGTTTTCTTGTAAAATTGTCTTCAAGAAGCACCCCTCAAAATTTAAAATTGGACCAAATAAACATCAAAATTGCAATTTGAGAATAAAATTAATGACCGAACTCTTCCATTGACGCGGCCACCTTACGGCGCGTGGGCTGCTTATCCCNGGGGGGGGGGGGGGGGAGGGATTCGGAAAAATGCGAGACCGGAGGTCTGGGGAACGGTCTTCTCTCGAAATAATCTTCCAAATTAGGTGCTCCCTGAACGCAATTTCCGTTTGTTCACATGGTAAATTACCACCTTTTCCTAGTTCTCTTTTTTGGGTTTCAAGGGGAGGAAATTTCGTTATCATCATCTTCGGATTAGCTCTAAATAAAATTCCATGACTTACGTCTCCTTTTCAAATATTTAAAAAAATTTACAAGACGTCGATGGTTTTCGGGGAAAAGTAAAGAAAAAAAAAAAAAAACTGAAAAAATCCTCGAGGACTCTTTTGAGGGAGAGGTGGGTGGCTACCGCCCCTCCCCTTCCCTTCTCCATGCACAAGCCCCTACCAGAGAAAATAATCTTTTTAAGAAGTAAAATAAGTGGAAACATTGCGTCAGAGGAGAGTCCATACTGCTGTCTTATCAGAAATGAGAGTTCAAACAACTTCTCTATTGGTTCCAACCGAGTTAAAACAACCTTTCCTTCATGGTCATACCCCGTCGCTCCGGATTTGCAGGCCCGCAGTTTCAAATAAACGCGCGGAATTTTGAAAAATGTTTTGTTTCGCGCGCTGAGATCTTGGCATTCTATTGGTCCTTATTTTGCGCGCTAAGATCTTGGCATTCTATTGGTCCTTATTTTGCGCGCTGAGATCTGTATTCCATTGGTCCATGTCCGTACACCGCTGCCAAACTGCCAACACGCCATGATTACAATGAACTTGTTTGTAAACATACATGTAGACAAAGAGGTTATGTTAGGTGAGTGAACTGTGAACAGAGACAAGAGACCCTCCACTAGTAACTTGGCTATGGTGGAAGCTTTTACTTTCGGGACTTCAGCATTCTACTGTTGACTTACCTACATGGTTGATGTTCAACAACGTGTTGGCAGTTTCGTTTCGCAAACAAGCCGAAAATGGCCGACGTTTGGGAAAGTTGTTTGGCTTATGACGTCATCCGAAGCTCATCATCGACCATGTAGGTAAGTCAACAGCCGAAAATAGGGTGATGACTGTTGCTCNTGCGTCAGAGGGCAGTCCATACTGCTGTCTTATCAGAAATGAGAGTTCAAACAACTTCTCTCTTGGTCCCAACCGAGTTATAACAACCTTTCCTTCATGGTCATACCCCGTCGCTCCGGATTTGCAGGCCCGCAGTTTCAAATAAACGCGCGGAATTTTGAAAAATGTTTTGTTTCGCGCGCTGAGATCTTGGCATTCTATTGGTCCTTATTTTGCGCGCTAAGATCTTGGCATTCTATTGGTCCTTATTTTGCGCGCTGAGATCTGTAAATTCCATTGGTCCATGTCCGTACACCGCTGCCAAACTGCCAAAACGCCATGTTTACAATGAACTTGTTTGTAAACATACATGTAGACAAAGAGGTTATGTTAGGTGAGTGAACTGTGAACTGCTGAACTGCAACGCATGAACGAATTCAACGTAAGAAACGAGTACTGTGTAAGTTGTGGCTGTAAAGATTGTGTTCGTCCTCGTCTCTTTCATTGTGTCGCGTTAAGAATCGGTTGTCATCGCCTTTATGCATTTTGTTCGTCAGTTTCTATAGCTGGTAATTACATCATGCAGGTGTCGCTCATTCGGAGTTGACTTATATTCCATGAATCTGTTGGGTAGGTATGTAAGTATGTTGGCTGTCCCGTCTAGAATATAATATTTTAATGGGCTGTCAGAAAATCAACACAAAAAGTACTGATCACACTTTAGAAATGAAGACTCGCACAAGAGTGACTTTGGTTGTGTTGGACAGTTCATCTCTGCTGTGACTTGAATACTCATGAATTCCGAAGTTGTTGGCCTGGAACAAAATCATACCCAGTACTGAAATGAAAGATGCACCCTAGGATTCATGTCATCAGAGTTTGAATATCTGTCAGCATGCTTTCAAGGGAATCAGATACTCATCATATATCAGCTCACTGTATATTTCATCCAAAAAATAATAAGAGTCTGCATTGAGTAGGAAAAATTATGTCTGTGAGTGACTTTTCGGGTATCTGGCGTTTTGGTTGATGTATAATACATTCCCATTTTATCCAAAAAAACACGGAAGATCTTGAGTTTTAAAATTTCAATTTTCTTCTTCTTGGGTCAATTTTTTTTACTGACCCGCGCTGACTCAAGTGGAGGAAAATTGAAATTTCAAAAATCAAAATATTTCGGTGTTTTTTGGAGAAAGTTTGATGTACATCAATCAAAATGCCAGATCCCAAAGAAGTCAGTCGTGAACTCATTTTTGTTGTAAAATCGACTGAATTTTGATAAAACACATGATTTCGATTTCCCATATTATTTGCCATAGGGAAATCAAAAGTGGTCGTCAGGTGTGTGATTGACTGAAAAGCAACAGCGGGAAGTTCAGGACAGGATCAGGCAACCAAACTTTTTTCCTGTTGAATGCAGACTCTCATATTCTCTTTGATTGTATCCAAAGAATTTTTTTTTTTTTTGCAAGTACCTCCGATATATTTTCAAACCTGTCTTTGGTATCAAATCTCTAAGTGAGCAAGTTGTAGCTCTTCGTGAGAAATACTTGCTTTTACTTATCACCAGAATTGTAAACTTTTAACCTCTTGTTTACAGGTGGATTCGTAACAGAAAAGAAAACAACTTAGCTGAAGAAATTTCATCACTATCAAATGATAGGTATCGTTTACAAGGTGGCATTTTCATAATCCAAAATGTCGAGGAGGAGGATGCAGGCAACTATGCTTGTACTGTGAATAATACGGCTGGCAGCGATCGGATCCACATTGAGCTGGTGGTTATCAGTCAACTTACAGCTCACCTGTCTCCACCAGTATGTCTCCAAAATCTTTGTTATCTTTTTAATGAATTCTAGAGATATCAGTTATACAGAAACTGTTTGCAGGGACCATAAAGTAGTCCCAGTGGCTGGTCGAAGAACGTGTAGAAGAATTCTAGGAAAGGTAATCTTCAAGAGGCGATTGCAATGTAGGAAAAAAATTATATAGACCATGGGAATTAGGAAATCTGAATTTGGCCAAACACTGCACCCAAACTGTTGAAATTATCTTGTCCATGGTTTAGCAGGGTTTTTTTTTCGCCAGTCCTCAAGCTTTTGTCTCTAGTGTTGGTAAATTTTTCAGATTGTACAGTACGAAATATAATTTGATAAAATTTGGAATTAGAATAACTCATTCAAAGAAGAATGCATAGCAATTTTATCAACTTTCAAAGAGCTGTCAGTTTTTTTTTTAGTATTATTAATGCTCATCTGCAGATAAAAATGCAAATTTCTCTCACCACAAATCAAATTCTATTTTTGTCTCTCTAAACAGCTATTATTCAACTGTCAGTGATTGTCCTTAACTAGATATTAGGTGGTGAATAAAAATTCTGATTATCCTTCATTAATTTATTTATTTCCTCTTAGGTAATCACAGTTGATATTGGTCATAGTGTTGAGTTTACTTGTACTGTTTCTGGTCATTCGCCTCACATTATATCATGGTTCAAAGATGGTCTCCCTCTACAAGACCATGGCCGTCACATCCAATCATCTGCACCCAAAGGTTCTATTCTTACAATTCAATCTGTCACGAGAGATTCACGAGGCATGTATCAATGCTTTGTTCGCAATGACTTTGGGAATACTCAAGCATCTGCCGAACTAAAACTTGGAGGTACGTTATTCATAAAGCATTTGGAAAATTCATTAATTTCAATTCAAGGCACACAATTTTCACCAAGATGCACATTTAATATGAAAGTTTCAATGACAAATTTTTTCATGAAATGAATTCTAAGCTAGCTCGCCAATATCAATGGAGCTGTGCCCTTTTGATCATACTTGCCTTATAAGAAATTGAAGAAAATATCAATTGATCCTGAATTTGAAACAGGTTTGCTTGGTTTTGTCTTTTGCTTTTTACAAGCCTTAGGCAGTAACTCGATATTTTTGTAAAAGTGCAAAGAAAAAAATAATAATAAAGACAATAAAAACAAAAGAATGAAAGTCAACCCTTGAATTGGCGTTTACATCATTTTGCACTTCAGAGCAACATGTTAGTAATAGAGGCTCTCTTCCTAGAAATTTTTGAACGATTGGATGCATGCTAATTGAATGCTAAATTTGAATATTTATTGTAACTTTTTACTTTTCAGATGCAACGCCTCAAATCATTTACAAATTTATTGAGCAAACAATCCAGCCCGGTCCTTCTGTGTCCTTAAAATGTATTGCAACAGGAAACCCAACTCCTCAGTTCACATGGAAACTTGACGGATTCCCTTTACCGCAAAATGAAAGGTAAATTCTCCATATTATCTTCATGTTTGTACCCTATTTATTTCTATAACCAAAATTTGTACTCCCTAAAACTGCAGTATTCATCTTTTGGGCTTAGTTAGTTACAATATGAATTTTTCTTCTTTCGTGTCACCTTTAGAGGAGCAATATGTATATTTTCCTCATTGATATGAATAATGAATACATTCTGGTTTCAGGATCTTAATGGGTCAGTATGTCACTTTAAACGGTGATGTAGTGAGCCACATCAACATTAGTTCTGTCCTGGTTGAAGATGGAGGTGAATACACTTGTGAAGCAACTAATTCCGTCGGAAGTCTTTTTCACTCTGCTAGATTAAATATTTACGGTAAGTCTGAAGTTATTCTTACTTCTGTTTCGGATGAGCACCAGTTTAGAAAGTGGATAAACAAAACTCTTCCTTTCTAATGTGTGAACAAAAAGTTAGTAAGCTAAAGATTATTCAGGTCTCCATTTCCTCCCGACCTCATGTTGCAGATCATCCAATGGAAAAAAGAAAAAGAGGAAAAACCTTGGTGATGGGTCAATTACGTAATTTTTTGTGTTATTTCCAAGCAAACTACATTTCTGATCACAAACAAACACCTGAAATTATGTGTGACTATTTACTTGAGGTTTTATTTGATAGTTTTCATTTTTTGCACTCAAACTTAAAACATGGCCAAGTAGGGTTAAATGTAATATCTTTCATTGATAGGGTAACCTGTTTCTTTCAAGAGTTCTTGCTTTAGGTGCTTAATGATGACTACCCTCCATGTTGAAATTTGTTGGTATGGTGACCTCTTAAATGGGAGAAAAATATTGATTTTTGGGCTTAAAATATCAATTAAATCATCCTTGATGTTATTTAAAAAAATTTATCATTGTGATATTTTATCGATGAATTATTCAGTTCCATTCTGTCAAAATGGAAGTAACATTTTAATTTCATCAAGGAGAGAGGTGAGGCCATCTTATACCAAAAATAAGTATCTTGGTTGTTCAGGGCATCCCATTACTTTTCAGTGAGCCTAAAAAATTAGATATAGGGTCATTAAAAGAGCCCTTAAGTATTAATTACTCTCAGGGTTTTGAGAACGAACGAAAATGATCTTTTGCCATGTTTATAAGTTCCAAAAGCCAAGAATTCTGTTCATTTACTGATGCGCAAACTCAGTGTGTAATTTTAAGTATAACAGTACATGTTTTTTACCTTAAAAATTATTTTATGTATGTGGTTTTAGGTATGCCTCGGATTCGATCAATGCCTAAAATAACAGCTGTTTCTGGGCAAGATCTCGTGGTGAAATGTCCAGTTGGGGGTTTTCCAATCACGACAATTACATGGAAGAAAGGTAGGAAATTGCAACTAATTTTCTTGTCTCAGAGTGTGTCAAAATATGGTTACCCTGCTTTTGACGGTTAATTAGAACAATGGTGTAAAAACTTCTCGACCATGAGATCAGTTTTATGAGGAAACAAGAAAGCTCCAATATCATGTTTTAAAAATGAGAGGTCTTTGAAAAGGGGTCTTGCAAATGAGAGTGCCTGCTCATGCCAGTGCAAAAATCGCTAGTTTTCCCCAAAATTTCGGCAATGCCTAATTACCCAGTAAACAAAAAAAAAAAACCCAAAAATCAGCACTTGGAAAATTTTTGGGGTGAAAGAGGGTTTCTAAAGAGGAGGGCAAATTTGAAGAATGAGAGGATTAATATTACATTGGTGCGCTGTCATCTACTCAAGCAAGCCCACTCCTTATGATGAAACTTTTGAATTTTTAAAGATGAACATTTGTAGGAGACTAGTATGCTATGAGGAGCTCAGCTGCGCAAATAATTTGAAGGCCAAGTTTGGTCATTATTTTCTATTTTTAAAAACCCAAGTCTGACTTTTTTAGATGCTTTTAAAAAAGGTATTTAGTGAGGTTCAATCACTGTTCATAGAAATGTGCAGTATATCTGCGGACAGTTTATTTATTTTTTGTTTCCAAAGAAATTGCAAGGTTGATTTAGCTTATTTATGCGTAAGTGTAAGTTGTTTTTCAATTTTTTCAGATAACCATCTCCTGCCATTGAATAGAAGACAAGATGTATCTCCAGAGGGAAAGCTTACCATCCGCAATATTGATAGGCAGTCGGACAAGGGCACCTACTCATGCACAGCATCAAATAAGCAGGGGCAGGAAGATTCTAAATCTGTTGTAATTGAAATCAAAGGTGAGACTCAACCATTCATTACTTTGGTGTCTCATGCGGTTTATTTATGATTTTATTTTATTTTATTTTTATTTTTATTTTTTACATAACATACATAAAGCCACCATATGGGGCTATTGTACTAGTCAACATGGTATTTAGTTACAAAAAAGACGTTAAAACAAATTTATCTTATAATAAATTTATAACCTGCAATAACAGCAAGTTGGAAGTTGGCATGATGTAGGTGTAAAATAAATTATTAGTGTGCAAATTTAAAAAAAGCCTAACCAAACATGAGAAAAGGAACCTTAGTACCTAAAAATTCAAAACATTGTCACAGAGAAGTGTATTGTGGATATTTTGAAACAACAAATGCCCAATCAAAGCTAATGGTTTGCAGTTTATTGCTCCCTTTACATATAGATTTTAAACTGCCAAAGTAAAGACCGTCAGTGATAATTAGCATTTTTCCAAGATTCACTGGCTATCAGGGAAGGAGTGCGGCAAAGTATTATTTTTTATGTTTTCTCTTCTACATTTTTCGGTGAAAACAAGAAGTATTTGAAAACTTGTAAATAAATTTTAAATGTGAAATCTGAAAGAGGAAACAAACATTTTAGTGTTAAAAATTCATATTTTGTTCACTATCCTGTCAGTAGCACTAGATAAAGCATATATTCTATTCTTTCTCTAAAACAAATAAAATTGTATCTATTAAACTTTTATCATTATTTGTGCTATATTTAAGGACGTAAAGTTGCTCAATTTTTCTCAGAAGATCTTCTCTTTCCTATTTCATATTTATCCAAGACCAGCTACAAAGTTTAAGGTCGATAAATTTCACTTTCCTGTCGGTTCGTTGTATTTTTTGTACATCTCTTGCCTTACAAATTCTAGTCCCGCCAAAAATCGACCCATTCAGTTTCCCTGAAAGTGTGCAAGCAGGGTCACGAGTGCATGTCACGTGTGTTGTGAGTGAAGGTGACAGCCCTATCCAGCTTGAATGGCTGAAAGATGGCCATCCGCTAGACATCTCAAATGGGAGAACTCATAAAATCAGCGCCTTCGATTTGGCTCTGATTATTTCGAACGCCAGGCCGGAACACAACGGCAACTACACCTGCTTTGCTTTTAATGAGGCTGCCCGCACATCCCGTTCTGCACAATTGCTTGTCCATGGTAACGCTCAACTCATTGGCACCGTTCCCCTCTCCCCTCCTTCTATGCTCTAATCCTACTCTTTTGTCATTTATGTTGCATGGAGTTGCCCCTCATCGCTTGATATTCCCTATCAAAGAGTTTTTTCCTAATTTGCAGCTATTGCTAAAAACGGACCGCCAAACAGGGTAAGAATCAAATCACCAAGACATGTTGTCCTGTCAAAATTTCATGCAGAACAGATTGAGCATTTTGAAATTTTTCAAAACTTGCTCTTCCATACACTGTGCTTGAAAATCTTATAAATGATAATTCAAAATGTCGAAATAATCAATCGTAAAGGACAAGGAAAAATCATCTGTATTGTAAAGGACACCAAATTAAAATTAATGCCCAATTTAAAATTCAAATCCCAAGCACAGGAAATGATGATTTCTCAGCTTTGAGTTCAATTTCCTACGTGTCTATCAAGTTCTAATGGTAAGTGAAATTTGGACAAGAATACATGTATTGCAGTGCTTAATTTCTTACCTCACCCAGCGGTCCCTACTTCCTAAGTCTATTTGTAAATGTCTTTTCTAGGTGGTATTGATCCTCGAAATTCCTCTAGTGACTTCTTTTGAATTTTTATCATTTCAGTTCCGCCGAGAGTAGCTCCGTTTAACTTTAATCAGGGACTGTCGGTAGGCATGCGAGCCCAAGTCACTTGCGTAATTGAAAAAGGAGACCCTCCTTTTACGATAAATTGGCTCAAAGATGCTGTTCTCATAACACCCACCCTGCCATTGGCCTCTGAAATTAAGATCATCCCCATTGATTCTCGGTCAAGTACTTTCGTCATAGAAAGTCTATCTGCCCGCCACTCGGGTAACTTTACTTGTCTAGCGAGCAATGGCATTGCCGAGGTTGCGCACACAGCGCCCTTGACCGTCAGTGGTAAAATCCAACTTTTATAACTCAACATTTTATGGCACATCGCACATCAATAATTAAACGAATCACGCTTTCTGCAAAATCCCTTGCTATATTCAAGTGCAATTTTTATTTATTTTCTCTCTTATGTTAATAACATTTGTTCTCTCTTTTCCTATTTAGACATATGTTTTATTCTTCTTTTCTGCAGTCACCAGTTACTATTTTCATTGTGATTACTGTTTCAAAGATCGCTTAGTAGATATGATTTTATTTTTATTTTATCCACACCGTCCAGTTATGTTTTTATTATATTTTTTTTTTCTTTGTAATTACTTTAAAGTGTGCTTTTTCTTACATTAAAAATCCTCCAGATCTTACAGTAGACCCTTTAAGATGCATGAGAAATTTTGCATGTTTTTTTTCCCTTTACGTGTTACTACTAATCAAGAAGATGAATTTTAATTATTTTTTCTCTATCTCATCATTATATGAATAAATATTAAGACATGATTAATTATCTTCTCAAATTATCAGAACGTCCCCTCCTTTTGTGATTTAAGTCGGTCATAGCTTAATGACATTTGATACAGTGTAGAAGAAACATCAGTTTCCCCTGCAAAAAATAAAATGTGTCGCACACCATGCTCCATTTTTATTGCAACTCATGGTAAGTCTTTAAAAGGTTTTAATCTAGAGGCATCTTTTGATCGATGAGCCAAGAGTTTTCAGAAGTTGTTAAATTTCAAGCCAAAGATTTAACTTCAGTACCAAAGTAATAATCTGTCTAAAACTCAATTTAAAGAAGAATACCATTTTAGAGCCCTTAAACACTATTTTAAACATAATTATCCGTACCGTCACTGTCTGTTCAGGGCATTTTCATACTCCTGCCTCTTCGATTTCCCTTTCTTCAACCATTGCCTTACGTTTGGTATTTTAATAATTCCAGTACCTCCAACATGGCAGGTTGAACCTCAAGACCAACAGGCTCCTGAAGGAGTTTCACAGTTCCTGATTCACTGTCAAGCAGAGGGGTTTCCCAAACCAAGCATTACATGGAGGAAAGCTGTCGGTAATGATAGAATGCCTCTTTTAAATGTAATTGTTTTTACTTTACAAGAACAGCTTACATTTTGCTGCGCTTCAATGAGAGATCTGAATATCGAAAATCTAGTCTCTGTTGACGTGGAGAAACAGGATCGTCTGTTCAGAAAATTTCTTAAGAAGTTAAGAAAATGTATCAGTTTGAATACAGAATTAATTGTTTTGTCAGTTCTTAATGGATCCCTGGCATGAAACGAACCTCCCTCTTACCCTACAAGGAAGTTGTTTTACATTGATCTTAATGTTGATTGTATCAGTCAGAATTCTTATCAAGCTTTTTATTAAAATACGCTTTTTTATTTGAAAAGTTAGTTCCATTTTTCTCAATCTGTTTGACGTTTTTCTAAACAGTTCACTGCACAAGTAGGTTTTTTTAAAATTCATTTTATGATGAAGGGTGAAAAAAAAAACAAACTTTCGGTCAATCAGTAAAACATAGCTTGAGTCTGTAATAAAATAAAAAAATTGAAAAATAGATTGTATGGAGAGTCTTTTGAGTAAACAAGTGAAAAATATACCCGGAGTATAACTTCACAAACTGTTTAATTAATATTTGGTGAAAAATTGTGTAAAAAGTATCTCTCAAGAAACGTTGGGAAATACTCCTTTCTTACCTTTATTCTTTATTTCAACAGGAAATAAGCCAGGCAAGTATCATGACATTCAAATGCTTGCAAAAGATACTGACTCAAAAGTCCAGTCAAGTTTCCACTATCGAACTAATGGGTCGTTGATTATATATAAACCGCAAGAGGAGCACGAGGGATTTTACCTATGTGAAGCTTACAATGGGATCGGTGCAGGGCTCAGTAAAGTCATTTACTTTAAAGTCAATGGTAAGTGTAAGGTTAATATAAAGTCATTTTGCTTCTCTCTTTTTTCTCTTTTAAGACTTTCCTGTCCTTGTTGAAGACTTTCTTTTAACCCTTTATAAAAGACAAGCCCTTCTCAAGGATCGTTTCCTTGTGGCTCATCAACAGTCATTATGACTGAACAAAGCTATGGTCCTCAACAGGCCAACAACGAAATATCATAGTTTTAGAAAATTCATTTCAAAAAGTTTCTTCTCAACCCTCCTTTAACACCTATCGAGTATAATGACAGTAGACAGCTCAGAGCAGTTCCTTTAAGTAAATGGATCAAGATATTCTAGACATCTGATAAGCACTTTTATGTCATCAATGAAGTGTTTTTTGGAACTTCCCTCTCAAAACTGTTATCCAATTTTGCAGCTCCTGTTCGAATGGTCACAAAGTATCGGAATGTAACAACCAAGCTTGGCTCCAGTGTAACATTGAAATGTGAAGTTCACGGTGACCACCCAATCACTATTCTCTGGGAAAAATCAGATTACACCCTCAGTTCATCCATGAATGATTACAGGCAAGTATCAAATATTTTATATTTGTAACCAATAAGGCTCTAAGTTAGCAAATAAGAGAGATATCAGTGATAAAAGGTGATATTTTTGTATTTTTAAAAAATTAATTCATAAATTGATGGATCTCTGAAAACTGTGAACTTGAAAATTGAATTCCGAGGTCATAAATTAATTTTAAATGTTCAATTTTTAAGTTAACCTTGAGGCATTTCTTTCTTGAGCTGGCAAATCCTCCCTCTTCCGAAAAATTTTACTGGATTCCTTCACTGTGATACCTTTCATTCTCCTTCTGTTGTCTTGGACGGTATCAAGCATGGGCAACCACCATGAGTAATTTTGTTTTTTTTATCTCAAAAACTTGAATCCTAAATCTGGGTGAGTTTGTCATTTTTTGTGCCAACATTTTTCTAGAAACGTTCCAATGAGCATTTAGTGCCAATATCTTAATCTGTAGTTTTTTTTAAATCCAAAAAAACGTTTTTTAAATAATGATCCCAAATTTATTGATATGATGATTATAGATATGCGGTAAAAGAGTCCAACACAACTGATGGTTTATCATCTGAGCTTAAAATTTCTGCTGCATCCCGCCAAGATTCTGGACAGTTCTACTGTATTGCTACCAACCAATTTGGCAGAGATGACATGGTTGTTCACCTAACAGTTCAAGGTATTTTAATTTTGCAATATAGTAAAAGCTAATGAGTACCATCACAAACATGTAAAACAAGGTGAGCATGCCTCGCTTCAACATTTTGACAAGTATCAGATGTTATGAATTAATGTCATTATTAGTAAAATATTTTCATTTTTGAAGAAATTTGAAATTGTCTTTCATTTTGGTTTCTGATTATTGCTGACTTGCTTTGGCATCAACAAATTACTCTTAAAGATCCTCTGGTATTACAAAAGAACTCTGCAAAAAAATTTGATCACACTTTGATACTAACCACAACATTTTCAAAATTTCTTGTGGAGTCATTGGCTCTCCAATGAAATATTTCCGTTTTACTATCAACAGTTTTTTCTCTCTGGACCCATGTACTTGATTTTTTTATTTTACTTTTTTATTTGTGTAATTTTTAGAGCCTCCTGATTTTCCAAGAAACCTTCATGTCTTAGAAAAAGGAAGCCGGTTTGTGAGATTGAGCTGGAGTTCCAGTAGCAGCCAAAATAATCAAGTTGCTCAATATATAATTGAATATAAGTTGGAGAATGGTATGATTTTAATCCTCTAATTTTATAACAGCTAATTCAGCAAAAATTTTGCCTACCAAGTTTTATCATGTCACAATAGTATGTTTTTTTTTACCCTCTGTCCATTAACAATAGCAAAATTCCCTGTCTTACAACAGCGCATGAATTTATGAGAGGCATTTATACGATATTTTGATGGCTTTAAAACTTTTGTAAACTTCAATAACCGTAAAATCTGTCATGAATACCCAGCATTCTCTTAAACAATTGTGCTGTAACGACGAGAAATCAAGGCCACCTCATATTCATGCTTCCTGTAAAAGTCTTTATTTCAAACCAAATTGTGAAAATTTTAATTGAAAATTACTGATTTCACTTTTTGCATGAAAATCTAACTTAAGTTTTGTTCCAACCAAGTCTTTAATCATCATGTACTTTGTCTAGGTCCATGGCGGGAGCAGTTTCCTTCTTTGTCAACTCCAGGATCTGAAACAGAGCTTCAAATCTCCAACCTGAAACCTGCAACCAATTACCAGTTCCGAATTTTTTCTGAAAATGAATCGGGACGAAGTCAAGCCAGCGATGTGAGTACTGCCAATGAGAGTGAAAAACTTTAATCTTCCTAGATTTCATAGAGTTGATTCAGTTTTAATGTTTGCACTACTCTGGAAATGTGGCTCAAATGCTAAGAGTAATAAAATGGTGGAATAATGTTAGGTCCACACTATTTGGAGAGGAAATCAGAGCCAGAAAAACCAAAAATAAGAAATAGAGTCACCATGAACTATAATAAGTTTCAGCGCAAAATTGAGAAGGAGATTATTCAACTCCCCTTGCCAGTCTCCAAGAACAAAAACGACTTGAAACTTTGTGCAGTTATTCACTTTTTTTTACAGGTTTTGGATGTAATGACCAATGGAGATATCCCTGAAGGTCCACCACTAGAAGTCAAAGTTGAAGCCATCAGTTCTACCCAACTTAAAGTTTCATGGTTGCCTCCAGAAAAACATTTATGGAATGGTGAAATTCTCGGCTATCACATCGGCTACAAAGAAAAAAAGTAATTTCAGCTTTATTTCATCAATATTTCATACTAAAAATTTCGCATTTTTCGCACTGGAAATTATTTCTCATACTGAAAATAATTGTTTGTACTGAAAATGATTTCTCATACTGATAATGATTTCTTGTATCAATGACTCTTGCAGTTTTGACTGGTGAAATTGATGCCTCAGAAGTGTATGCTAATTTACCATTCTTTGTAGTGCAAAAGAGGAATAATATCTTGAACCAAAGAACTAACAAAATTTGTGATTAATTTCTTAGGAGTTATAAATGGCATTGATCAAGAAGTTCATATTCACTTTGTCCAGCCAAATATTCGACCAACTTGCCTTAAAATTTTGTATGGTCATTAATGCTGAGGACCACCTTCGATAGAACTGGCATTTGATTTATTAAATGAGTAAGGTCATAATTCCGGCAAAATTTTGAACTTGCCAATGCTGGCCCTAGTCTATCTCCTACTTTTAAGTGCTTACAAAGAGTAGTTTTAAGTTCATAGTTTTCTTCTCTTGCCGTCTTGCATTTTTTTTGTAAATAAATAAATACAACAGCCCCTGTGTAAGAATTATCAGAATCTTTAGAGTAAAAAAAAATGTAAAAAAATAGCCCACATGAAATTAGAGTCCGACTTCAAAAAAAAGTGTCACATTTGATATTGGATCTAATTGGGTCATTAAATTCGGTGCGGTTTGCATGGACAAGTCTTTTTTAAATATCTTAAAATTTTGGGAAATTTTTATTGTCAACCATTTTGAAGAGTTGTGCGCAGGCATTGTGTGGGTGATTTCATTCATTTATTTTATTAACGTTTTTTTTTTTGCAAAATTTAAAATTTCAATCTTTTATCTTATTCATGTGATACACCAAATGCCAGCAATTGAACTCTAGGATAAATTATCCGTGAAAAAAGTTTTGAGTAAAATCGTAAAGTTATCAGTTGGTTGGTAACTGTCAAAATCCTCCGATCCCCTTGTTTGTTAAATGTATGAAACTTAGAATGGTGTCTAATTTTCTTTGTGACTTTTGTCTCATTGCAGGTTGTATTTTGATGTTTACCAGCATAAGCGTGTTGAGATGAGCTTGGAAAATTATAGTTACTCAACAACTCTCAACAACTTAAAGAAATTCACCCACTACATAATCGTGATTCAAGCATTCAATTACTTAGGGCAAGGACCTGAGTCAGAGGAGGTGGAAGCAAAAACGTTCGAAGATGGTACGTATGACTTTTAACATTCCAACTAGTGACTCATGTCCATTCCAGCACTGCTGCGCTTGCTACTCTTATAAATCAAGACATGGACCCATACAGAATGAATATGATAACTTTTTACTGTGTTCTTATACTGTAAAAAAGTTACATTTCCTATCTCGGCGTTTTTACTTACTGTCCCAAGTAGCAGTGATCGCGATAAATAGCGATTTTATAGGTTGGTTATCGCGAATATATCAGCGGCAATATGTCGAGATATTATTGCATTAAAAATTGCAATATATGGTGATTAAACCGCTGCACATCGCAATTTTTACTCCAATAAAATCGTGATCAATTTTCATCGATATAATCGAGATTTAGTCGCCATTTATTGCGATTTTTATTTCAAAAATATCGCGATAAATTGTCAGGCGATAAAAGCTTGATAAGATCGAGGATAATCGCTCAGATGTTGATGACTATGGAGATTTTATCGCCGATAAAATCGCAATATGTAGCGATTTTTCTGTTGAGAAATGCTACTATGGGTACTGTTTCTAGCATAATTGAACCGTTATTTTTCTTAAGGGTTCAAGGGCCAAAATCCAAATTTTGAGAAAAACTGAAAAAAATGTGCCGTTTGGCGTGCGATAAATCTTTTGAGCCCAGTTTTAATAGGTATGCTTAAGACATGTAAAATTTTTTGTCTCAAAAGATTGAGTTAATGCCAAATGGCACAACTTTTCTTGACTCTTGGATTTTGGTGCTTGGGTCCTTAAAAGAAAAATATTGGTTCAATTTTGTTCCGCAGAGATGGTTTCTTTTGAACTGAAAAGTTCTGAGCAGTCATAGTCTTTGTTTTACCATATCTCATTTTAAAATAACCTAAAAAAAAAAAGAATTGAGGTTCAACCATTTGTCTTATTTTTTTGTGCTTTGAAGAGAAGCACTAACACCATATCTGCTGAATGAACAAGTTTGTGTTTCAGTCCCAAGTGCAGCACCTGACAATATTCGTTGTACTCCCCTGTCCTCTGAGAGTTTGCAAATCACCTGGAATGCCTTACCAGAAGGATTCGTGCATGGTGTTCTGAGGGGCTACAAAGTAATTTGGGAAAACGTTAATGAGAATGGAGGTAAGTTTTCATTCAACCATGCTCAGCAGAAAGTGTTCAATCACTAAAATAAGAAAAAAGGAAAATAAGTCCATTGTGGTCTAAGTGATCTAATGCTAACCTATCGCTTGCTTAATGTTTTGGTCCAAATCATGGTTCTCAGTGGCATTGTCCTTGGAGCTGGCCTTAAAATTATTATTTTTGAGAAAATAATTTGCTCCCCCTCATGAGCCGCATTCAATCGTTTAACAGTGTGTCCCTCCCCCTCTTTATTTTCTTATCTTTTTTTTTCTTGATGTCTTATTTCTTTATCTAGAGAAAATTACGCATTACCAGAACAAATGATCTTAATTTTCTTAACCATATATTTATAAAATATTGCTTCCTTTGTCAATTTTTGGACTTTAATTAGTTTAATTTTTTCTTTGTTGTTAATTGATGTTTGGTAGATGAAATCCAGACAGAGACAAAAATCACCACACAAACAATCATCGTGATTCATGGCCTGGGTAAATTTACCAACCACAGCATTCAAGTTGGAGCGTTTACACAAGTTGGTGATGGAGTGTACAGCTCACCCTTATACTGTGCAACAGAAGAGGATGGTTTGTCTTTGATTATTTTGGCAAAAGAGCTTACAGAATGAGATCAGGGTTACTTATTTGTAAAAGGATGATAAGTTGTTGTTCACTAGAAGTGCCCAGGAAAGATTAAAGGAAGAAATGTGTCTCTTTTAAAATACATTAGAAATATTAAGTAATTCATCATGGGGAAAGAATGATTTTCATAGTCATTTTTTTTTATAATTATGGCTGAAGTCGAAAAAACACATCTCCGATGGTGACTTCGTAAATCTCCACTCTTTTTTACTTTTTCAAAAGAAAACTGACCAACAGGTCCTACTGAAATTTTCCCCTGAATTTGTTTCAATCTTTTCAAAAAATATCACAAAATTGGAAGGAAACATTCAGATTAGTCTTCTTTGAAAAGTATAAAACACAATCATAGATTTTTAAACATTGCAATTGAGGTACGCATTTTTTAAATTTCTCCATCAATATGTAGACCATTCTGAACTTAATGTTCAAAAGAACATCTCTCTATGAAATTGAAAAATTTCGAAGTTTCCAATAGAGCAAATTAAAATTCCGCAAGTATTTCGACAGAGAGACTAAAATAGTGTAGTTACTGTTATGTCTCCAATTTCTTATTCTTATTATTCTTATTCATATATTTATTTTTTCAAAGACAGTAAACCTATTTTGGTACTTAAAAATTTCTACAAATATTCTTTCCTTGGAGCAGAAAACTTTTCAGACATTTTCAAGAATGATGTAGTTTTAATTTAGTATTTTGCCTACCACCAACAACTTTTGCCCTTTTTTGAGGCATCTAATCTGTTTTTGGCAAAGTGAGAATTGATTCCATTCAATTTGTATTCCAGTTCCTGAAGCACCAGCAGACCTCAAACCAGTAATAAATTCATCCAGCTCAATCATTCTAAGTTGGCTGAAACCTTCAAAAACCAATGGAGTTTTAACATTATACAATCTCTACATTGAGAGTTTGACCCAAGGCTCAGAGATAAAGTCCTTCAGAAGGACCTTGCCTCCCGAAAATACGTGGTATGAAGCTGAAGGACTAAGCAAAACAAATAGATACCAGTTTAGTGTAGCCGCTGGGACCAAAATTGGAGAGGGGCCTCGCAGCAAAGTAGTCTCTGCATCACCTTCTACAGAAGGTAAGATCTGGAACTCGCACAACCCACTTTGTTGTATAAAATGTATCAGAAAGATACATCTTCCTGTCCGACAGAAGGTCTGATTGATGGTCCTAGGCATACTTTCGTAGACAGCAATTTTACCACATTTATTTTTCAAAGATGAGCCTTAATAAGAGGCAAGCTGTAACAGCTGGTGAGAGGAAGTATGTTGGCTGCATTGCCGTTTGACAGGACATTTACAAGTTGCAGAAATAGCCTAAGAATATAGCTTTCTTGATTTTATAATAACCAGATTTCCTCATCAAGGAATGGTTTGGTTATGGTGTCACAGAATCGTGTTTTCTTGTCTGATGTTGCATCACGAAATGAGGATCATTGTTGCCAGATGGCCTGAAAAATCAGCACTTCTCCCATTCAACACCATATAAAATAGCCACATTTTGACGCTCACCCTGGCAACCTTGTTGCGGATTAAACCTGAATCTTTCCTCAGCCTAAAATTTTTGTAAAATTTGAATAATCTTTTTGTGTTATCCTGTTCTCTTCTATTTCAGAGTCTGAAATGTTACCATTATTGTCATCAATGATACATGCTGCACTGTAACGTTTATTTTGTACATTCTGATTTTGTTCTGTTCTTGTGAATTGAAAAATCTATTTCTAATCATGATTTCGATTTCAGTTGGTGCTGCTATATTTTCTTTTGGAGCAACGATTATTATATCATGGAGACAGGATGTTCACCTCCTATGTCAGCATGTTGGCAAGCCTTTACCAATTGTCACATGGAAAAAATGGGGTCAACCTCTCAAGTATACCTCTCGGTTAGTTTTCCAAGCATTTTACCATCCTCAAACTTTGTCCAGAAAGTAAGGTCTCCTCTTTTTTTTCGCATCTCTGTAATGATGGAAAAGCAATAACCTATATCTTTTGATGCTGTATACTCTAAGCTTCAACTTAAGCCCTACTTTTTAAAATTAGGCAAGCAAATTTTTTTGTAAGAAAACTCTGAAAAAGGGTTGCCCAGCTAAATATTATAACAATTGCAAACACCAACAGCAATCATGCTCACGACACTAGTTTTAATCTTGTATCCATTTCTAGCGCTGGGACCCTTAGTTGACTGGTGTAGAGTGCAACTTTTGTTTAAAACTTTCTAATGACCTGAAAAGCGTCAAAAAAAGCTGGTAACCATTCTTGCAATGACCAAACAACACCTGAAAAGGAACCCGCTCTATGATATGAAAGAATTCATGAACACTTCCACTGTAACAAGCTAAACAATAATAGTACTTTTCGTAGAAAAAATTGTAGTATCTGGTAATTTGATAGTTCTTTTTGTACTTTGAATGTTTAAGTTTTGAAGTAACAACATAGTACTACACTAAACCTTGAATTATCCTGACGAACTTGGCGGTCGGCAGGTTCAGATGATAGAAAATTTGGATAATGCTGAGGTCACTATGACAAGCTTAATTTGGCAATTTGCCTCTATAAAACGTGATGAAGAAACACCAATTTGAAATAAAGAACCACTTAAATATTTACAAATATCATATATTTTTTATATATATAATATATTTTTTATATTTCTAATATATCTTTGATGATTTTATAATTTTGTTTGAATTTTCGTTTTTTATTTAGTTTTAAACTTGGATTAGACAGCTCACTGCAAATAACAAATGTATCCCGAGATGATAGTGGAAATTTTTCCTGCCACATAGAAAATCCATTTTCCTCGGATTATATTTCTCACCGGTTAGTTGTGAAAGGTGAGCACATGTGATTTTCAGCAAAAAACTTCTGTACCTATGTACATCTGTAGATTATTAAGGCGCCTTTTTACAAAGGAAGCTAAGAGTAAAGGCATACAGTGGAGGAATACCCATTTATGAGGCACTCTCCAAGGTCTTGAAATTGTTTTGTAATCCTTGAAAAAGTTCTCCCGTCAGAGGTTTTTGATGAGTGAATAAGTTCCCTAAGAAATAAAAAATCTCCCCAGTTTTATCGTTTGGAACTCCTTAAAATTTCTTTGAAAGTCCTTGATTTTGGCTCTAAAAGGCTGTTATGAATCCTAACAATGCAGTTTGTAAAAAACGTGAAAAAATTCAAAATACCTGTACATGTAAGAATTCTGAAAGTACGCACTTAAAATCCTATGTTTTGCCCCATGACCCAGCCATTATGAATCAGTAAAACATAATAATAAAATTAAATGAGAAAAAATTTAATCAATCTTTTAAATTTCTGATTTCTCTTTGCCTCTACAAACAATACCTTACATAATTAATTTTTGCGCTGATCGATTTCAGTTGTGCCTGCCTCTCCTCTCCTTCATGTCACCAGTAGTACAAATACAAGTTTACATATTCAATGGAAACAAAGTGATGACGGAGGATCGCCTATCAGAAGTTTTACAATCCACTACAAATCAGAACCAGGAAAATGGACTGATCTTAAGGTTAGTATTTTCCACAGCAGTGTTTGAATCTCGCTGAAAAATTTACAGGCCCTTGGGGCCTTTTTAGGGGCCAAAACGGTGTTTATTAAATAGTGCAGAGTGAGCATCAGATGTCTTTTAACTTTTCAAAAAGAGACCTTTTCCGACTGATTGCACATCTTCCTTACTTTTTTCCACCCCATTTTAAAGAGATTTTCAGTAGTCAAAGCTCATATCGACGGTGAAACTACCAAACCACGTATCTCGGTTTGCGACGTCGCAGACTTCCTGTCATACTTTATTTTTTATATTAAAAACTTCTTAACGTCCAGTCTTGAAAATTTCTGTGATTTTTCCTCTTCGTGCGGAGAAAATGCTGTGAAAATTTCAAGGAATGATATTGATTTGGTCTACTTCAAAAAAATAAAATGCGAGCGTAGATTTTTAAACACTGCAAACGAGATACGTGGTTTGGTAGTTTCACCGTCGATATGTTGAGCAATCTTTGTAACAAACTTAACTTATAATTTGCCATAACTCGCCCATCAAAGTACTCACCGTTTTTGCCCTACTTATTCAACAAGGAAAGGGTAAATATTGCTGCCTTGGCAGTAAATATGTTGGAGAACATTTGAATGTCAAATTTGTATAACTAATTCTCAACTTCTGAATTGATTTCTAGGTGGATCGTCATCTAAGTAGCTACATTCTGACCAATCTGTCTTGCGGTACCATGTACAGAATATACGTAACATCGCAGAACAAAGTAGGATCCAGTGAACCTAGCCAAGAGGTTGTAATATCAACAAACGGTAGTAAGCCTTCACCACCCCCTCAAGATCGATTCATTTTCACGAACTCAAGTTCCGCAATTCTCTTCTTGGAAAACTGGGTTGACGGTGGATGTCCAATCCTGTATTTTGACATGGAGTACAAAAAAGTAATAGATAAAAAATGGACCTTAGGTGTGTTCACCATTGTGTAATTTAGTAATTATTAATTAGCTGAAACGATCAATTTAGTCCATGACTAATCAAATTCAAAGGTCAATTTATGTAGAATTGGCCCTATAAATGACGAGTAACAAAAAATTTGTGGGGGTTGGGGTATAACAAATTCGCTGAACTTTGATTCCCATCAGACCCCACTTGCTCTTGCCGGCTTGTGCATCTGGACCTCAGTGATGCATTCATCATTCATGCAGTATTCACAGCATTCATGCTGGAGAAAACAAGAAGACAGGGATTTATTTACGGACCCAGCCTTTATCTTATTCTCAATGAAAACCTGAGGCGATTCAAAGAGCACTGGAATAGTGCAACTACATGCGCACCAAGTGCAAGTATGCATGGCTTGTTTCTGTGAGTACTCGGTGTAAACTGGCCCGCATATGTTTGCCGTAAATGAAGATAGTACACAACTGTAAAATATGAATATTTCACATGTCTAGACACACATGCACTCACATACTCAATTATAAGTATCCGATCATCTTCTTTTCCATGAATTTTCAATTGAATTAATTTCTTTGTCAGCCTTTCCTAACTCTTCAAATTGAAGTTTGACTTTGCTGAACATTTTTTCTGAAAGAGGCACTCTGTATTTTTCAGTGATTGAAAAAAATCATTTCAAGGGATCAGCAATTTTTTTTGAAGATTCTTATAAAACCCTATGATGTATGTTATTTGCTTTAACAGTTTGTGTTTTTCTGTTGGCAGTTTCAAACAATATAGTATTGCAAAGAATGTTTTTCATTCAGGGGTTGCCAACTGGTACCGATTATCAGCTTCGAGTGAAGGCTCAGAACAGTGCTGGCCTCACGACAGCTGAATATCACATGAGGATTTCCAATGAAGTAGGAGGTAAAATTGATTTTTCTTCTCACATTTTCTGCTTTATATCTCACTAATTTTAGCCACATTTCAATCGATTCATTCCTTATTCATCATTATTTTTGGTTCATCACTTTAACAACATATGGATGAGCCAAAACTGATTCTTAGTTTTATCGAAACTGGAGCTGAACAACTAGGAAGACCCTTCCCGCAAGAGAAAATTAACATACTTAAAACAATTTTTGTACAATTTCAAATATTGTTTTTCATTGTCCTTTTTATTCCACCAAGAATCCTAAAAAAATGTAAAATCCCTGGAAAATTGCATATCATTTCATGCAACTTACTCAAAACACACCCAAAAAAATGAATTGTGGATCCAACAGATCTCCAGACAGTAAAATTTAAAACTTGTAAAACGCTTCTCCGTCCCACTGTGTAATAAATTTTAAGCAGAACACACCTAAGATACGCAAACGAGAAATCAGCGCTGATAGTTTACATTAGAATCAGTCAGCTCCATCTTTCCTTTACGAAAAAACCAAAATTAACATGAGGGCCATTAAATTATGATGTAAGGAATTTTCGTGGACTTTTTGACCCCTCCCTCTCTCTTGTAAGGCATCCCTATAACGACCATTCTCCTCCCTTTTTGAATTATGTAAGACAAGTCTAAACCCTACTTCCTCCAGTTTTCCAGAAAATAATGGAGAAAGCCAGAAAAAAAGCTTAATTTCAGTTTCTATCCATTAGTTCAATATAATCAACTCATTAAGTGTTATAACTTAATTTTGATTATTTCGCTGTTGTTTCAGGAACTTTTTCTCCAACTCTAGGAAGAATCAATGATTCAATCAGTCCTTTGGCAGATGCGGAAATTCTCATATCAGCGGCCTTATTTTCAGTGATAATTTTCTCATTTATGTCATTATTATTCATCTGTTACAAGCGAGGTGAGTTTGTCTCATGCTTCCTTTTTTTAAAAATTACTTAGAGAAACGAAAAAGATTAAAAAGATTTTTAAAAATACTTGATATTTCCTCTAACATTTTTATCAGTACTTGAAAATATTTTTATTCTGAGGAATCGATCACCTAGGAATGAATGGTTTTGAATTTTCAACCATCACCGTGTTTTCAACATCCTCGCTGTATAATGAAACTTGCTTATCTGTTCAGGATGCAAAAGGGAAGGAGCACCTCAGACATATGCCTCACACACGTTTTCTAGCAACACAACTGAAAAAAAACAGCATATGAAGATGCAAGATCAATATTTTACAACTGTGCGGAAACATTCTTTCTCTTCAGATAGAGAGATTTCAACCTTTGAACAAATCCCTGGTAAGCATGTTTGGAGCCTCTTTAAAGATCTCAGTTGTGAGCGGACACATTGACCCAGTGTGTAAGATAGAAATATCATAACGCTATCTCTCTCTCTTACATATTGAGTCAACATGTAACTTCAGTTATGGTAATTTCCATTATAAATGTTCAATGAATTTTCACAAATTTGATGTCATGTTACTTAGCATTAATGCTGCTACCTGCTATGGATCAGTTTCTTGCATTAAATTGTACACTACAATAATTATCACTACCTAAAGACGTAGATGGTTTAGCAGTGCGACAGTAGATTAATTTGTTGTTTTTCCTCCTCTTGCGACTATACAACGGTAAGCTTTGACTTGCACTTTGTTCTTTGCTGCCAGTGTGTTTTAATTCCATTAATGAATAAACACAGAGCTTAAAACTTACATTCATGCTAAAAATTCCTGAGTGATTAATTCATGAATTTTAAAACTCAGTTTTGCTCTCTCTTCACTGAAGATGTTTTTTTTCCCCCCCATTTAAAGACTGGTGCAATTTTTTGTGATTTCAGAGTATTCAGAGGACATATATCCTTACGCTACTTTCCACCTGAACAAACCTGCTGAGGCTAGAATCAAATCTGATGCATCCTTACAAACATTTACATATCATGATCCACATTTCACATCCGCAGAAACATTGAAAATAAAAGAGGTTAGTCAAATTTTTCTCTAATTTAATTTGATATTCCTTCCAGTTATTTTTTTACATTCATGTTATGGTGTCATGGTTTTCTCAGAACACTCAAGTAAGTTCTTGATTGACAACTGAAACTTCCATCCGAGTAAACTGCATTATGAAGTCTTTCCTTGCTTTTACAAACATTTGATTGCAGTGCTAATCGCTAATTTGCACAATTTAGAATAGACTTGAACTGAAACAGCCCAGAGCATCTTTTTGTAAGTTTTCATTTCTAGTGCTTGTAATAATACATCAGAAAATTATAACATTTTACCTACAAATTTAAGGATTACTTTCTTTTCATGTAAAAAAATTAAGTTAAGTTAATTAAGTTGAACCAGAGTCACTCAATTGGTTGAAGAGTACATATGTTGTTTAAAAGTCATGAAACGATCAAAATTTTGAAAGACCCAAAAAAGATGTAGATTTGTAATCTTGACAGGATTTTAAACAACTTATTAGCAGTTGTACAGAGATCATGTTGAACTTATTTAGTCAAAAATGTACTGAGAGACAGCCTTTTGAGGATGATGTGTTGTGGATCTGTTGCTGAGATTTTCAGGATATGCGAAGCCTACATTATATAGGCATCAAATTCGCAAATTGTCCTGTAAAATGAAGTAGACAAAACCTGTACCAAAATTTTATAAATCTTGAAGTTTATGCGCATGTGGCTAATGATAATAATTAGAACTAACTCTAGCAAAGAATTCTGTTTTTAAAAATCTTACCTGTGGTCGTGTAATGAGTCATCTTTGTAAGGCTTTATCATGGCAAATGACTGACTAAAAAAGCCTGGAAAGGTCTTAATAGAATGGTAATTATGTAATCTAGAGCCCCATCTAAAACGCATATCAATACTTCTCTTTGTTCTTTCAAAACTGCAATCGGTGCATAAAAAACCCATATCTAAATAATATCTCGAACATAACGAGGTCCTAAATGCTAAGTAAAATTACTCATGTCATCCCCTCAAAATGTTATTTTATCTCATTATTGTTTCAGAATAATTACCCAAGCGTCAAAAATCTTCTCCATAAAATGAAATCTCTTAAGTCTGAAAGTGAAGAATATGACGAATCAGAAAGTGAGTCAGAACATACTATTTCTGGCCAAGTCGAATCAGGATTTAGGTCAAAACAAAGTTTCAATCGATTTCATCGAAATAGATTACACAGTAAGTAAATTTCTTCTCTGAGTAGTTTATTTCAGTGTGATTGTCAGAACTCCTTTTCCTTTTAACTTTTTCTTCTACTCCATAACTTTAAAGTATCATTTAATTAGACAGTGTTAGCTTATTTTGTAAAATCTGAGGACTCTGTTTTCTTGCAAATTACATAGACTTGTATCATGGCCCTTATCCCACAATTTCACTCTTGAGAAAATCGCCCTTATATTTTTTTGTTTTTAATTTTTGATATTGCAAAGTATAAATGTGGTCATGGCGTGAAGAAAGTTTTGTACTTTTTATTTTTAAGCTTCCGAGCGGACACCGTTCACTAAATTTTTAATTCATAAAAATCAAAGAAATAAAAAATCATTAATGTGAGCTCTGTAGCAATGAGTGACTCACAGTTTTGATGAATTCTTTTCCAAAAACTATTCTCAAACAAGGGTTTTTTTGTGTCTAAAATTCAGTAACATTTTTTGTTCATTCCTATTACTATTTTCTCCTGAATTATGTCTGTGCATATGCATTGTTTGGATATCTTTCCAAAATTTCTGAATGTTTAGCAGCATTCCTATTTTATTTTCAGAGCTTGTGTCAAAAAGAGATCATTTAGATTCTTCCCCTGGCCAGAAACGGATACTTTCTTGCCACAAGCCAATGTCAAAGTAAGTTTTCCTTTCTTACATTTACATACCTCTATCAATTTAGAAACAAAAGTAAACTTTTTTTCTGGTTTTTTATGTGAGGTTGCTTTTTTAGCTACCTTCAAATTGAACTGCTTGGTTGAAAAACTGCCTATTTCATTTTAATCTAACCATTGTAGTCAAGAGGAAAGATACATTTAGACTAGACCACATTTTACTCATTGTAATGACCAGAATAACCATTAAGTATGTATTATTTATTCTTAATAATATGAGTCTTAACTTCTCCATGAGTCGATGCCTGACCTCTAATTGTACTTTTTCTATTTTTTTTTTTTTATCAGGGGCCAAAAATTGTCCAGCAATGCACAACTGGATCCTCCGTCAGAATTCTCTGACACACGCGAGTCAAGTGAAGCTGAACGCAACTTATTCATGAACCAAAGACGCCTGGCAGACTTCACAATTGCAGTTTAATCAATGCAAACCAGTGACTGTGACAACAGCGTAGTAGCACAATCCCTGCCAATGTGTTTTTTCGCGTTATTTTTGTTAGACCAACATTTGGCCTAATTGAAAGATCCTGATCAGGTTCCTGCTATACTGATGCAGGGCACTCATGTTTTACATTATTCTGTGATTTTTTTAATTAAGTGTTGGAGTCGTTTTTCTCATAAAATGAGAGGGTGCTGAGTTTGAAGAAAAAAGCTGACTAAACTTATTATTGTGCTCAACTTATGTTTGTTTTCTGGAAGATTTTAGAAAACCATCGTGTTTTTCACTGTTAAAAATTATCTCATTTTGAGGTCAAGATGTTACGAAAGGTTACCACTGTACTTATCCTCTCTGGCATTTCTATATTCAGGTTTCCTTTGATTTTGATGCATATGTGAAGTGGAGTTGCATAAGACTTTTTACCTTGAATGAACCTTCTTTTTATCTGTTTTGTGTTCATCTCAACCATCCCTCAAATGCTTTAATGCACAAACTCTTGTAATTACAGTTTACTTATAGCTCATTCCGGTACTTGATTGTTGTTATTATTTTTTGATTGTTTTATAAAATTTTGATACTAATTTTTTGTCTTCTTGTCTTTCCTCATTTTCAACCCAGTAGTTGACTTCGAGCTATCCTTACTTTTTAAAACATGAAGGTAGACCAACAATGCCTCTAAGAATGATTCAATTTTTTATTAACTAATCGGTAATCTAGGTTTTAAGACATTTTCTCAAGATCCTAAAATTAAACCAATCTATAATATGTCAAGTATGGAAGTACAAAAGATCAGAAAAATGTAAAATAAGTATCATTCACAAACATGATTGCAAATCAGTAAGTCCTTTGATTCATCACTCACATGTGAGCCGGTCTCGGAGTAATATCAAACTATTTGGTGATCATATTTTGTGTGTCTCAGTTAGAAAAAGTACCTCAAAATCAATAAAATATCCGAAGTTTGTATTAGAATTTCCTAAAATTTGAAAAATCTTAGTGTATTTAAGTAAAAGTTCAAACCCATCTAAAGTGATATGGTTCTATCTAAAATTGGCTGAAATCTTTTCTAATTTTCTTTCTCTTCCTAAAACTTCGGGACTGTGAAGTTTTGACTCCTTGTGGTCGACTACTCAGGGCACCACCTTTTTCCGTAGAATCTACGTGAATTTTGCAACCAAAGAGAAATTTGTGGATGGGGCATTGTCTTCCTCTTCAGCTCAGTGGTCTTGAAGCAAACAAAAAAAAACGCGACAAAAATGTACCCAAAAATGGTTCGCAGGGGGTGAGTCTATGGTACGTGTGGTCTTAAAACCGCGAACAATCAAAATCTTGGCTGCTCCTAAGTTCGAGGTATCGCGATTTTAAATTTTCATAGTCAATTCAAGTTTTCTACAGATTTTGATACGCTTTTTTATTTATTTGTCCATTGAATTAGTATTGATTGGTTCACGTTTTTATTTTTTGCTCGATCCATGTCGATCGAATTCTCACCCTCTCGTTACATGCAGACTATAGCTACCCATCATACTCTCTTTTTTTCTAACTGAACGATTCGCCTTGTGCTGCGTCTGCAGCAATTGTTGTCACGAATATGTTGTGCGTGCTGTCTTCAGCTCATTTTATAGGTACTTGACTCTCTGAAGGAGTTTTATGTGTTAAAGCAATTCGCCTTCAGCTGCGTCTGCAGCAAGTGTTGTTACGAATATGTTGTGCGTGCTAATATTAACACATTACATACTCGACTTTTTGAAGGCGTTTTATGTGCGCAAGTAGCGCAATCTGTCAGAGAACGAACGAAGTAGGGATCGAGCGAATCATTTAATCCTACTTCTGTTGTTCTCCAACAGGGTGCTCTACTTTCGTACAGTAAACGCCTTCAGAAAGTCATGTATGTAATGAGTTGAGATTAACACGCACAACATATTCGTAACAACAGTTGCTGCGGGCGCAGTTGAAGGTGAGTTGAAAATAACCGTATAATACACGTTGAAAAACATTTCAGCTCTTTAATTATTAATATTGTTACCAATAGAGAGTTGTATTTTATGGTCTTTTCATGGGGGATTCTCAAGAACATTTTCAACATGAACTAAAACATAGACTAAGTTTAAATGCAAAATAAAATATACCGCGCTCAGAGCCAAATTTAGGGTGTGGCCAAATGGGCCGCGGCCCATGGAGGCCAATTTAGGGGAGCGGCAAATTTTGCAATTATTTTAAATGAAGGTATAAAAAAAATCGGATTCCGAAAAAAAAAATTACAAACTAGAAAAGGCGACGAAACTTCTCATCTCCTGAGAGTATAGTAATGTCTAATTTTGTCGTCTTCCGGTGATACAAGAGACAGTACCTTTAATTAGTCGAATTAAAAGAGAAACCAAACACCCAATTAGGCCTGGAACGGCGCGCAGCGTAGAGAGTGATGATGACGAGGACTTGAGATGAAAAGGAGAAGCCCTTGGCGTGGCGGTCTGCATGTAACACATATTAGCGCCTACAAGACTGCATGAATACTTCACGCATTGCGTCAAACACATTGCGGTTGCGGTCAGCTGCAGCGGTCGGTGTGAAACGCATAGCGCCTACAAGACTGTAGGAATACTTCACGCATTGCGCCAAATACAGTGTGATCAGCCCGGCGCGGCGGCGGAAGCTAAAATTATTAAACCACTTTTTATGTTTGTTCTTTCATAATTTTTTCGTTCAATACTAATGAATGGAAGACCTTGTCCACACAGAATTAGGTTTACGGAACTTAACTTGCTAGTAGTGTTGACAGGGCTTTCGCAAAAAATGTGTCTAACACGAGTAAACGCGTCTTATGCAACCCACCCCTTCCGGTGCGTTCACTTGATGGTTTTTATTTGAAGTTTCAGAACGAATGAGAAGGGGGCGGCAAGTATAGGTAAATCCGGCCCTGACCGCGCTACAAATTTTCTCAGGCAGAATTTTACTCAGGATTTAATCAACTTTGAAGTCCACTTAAAAAAGAAAACCGGGAAATCGGCCTGTGTTGACCGCACCGTGATTTCTTTCGGAAATAGGTATCGGCGAAAACTTTCATAAATCAACATTTTCTCAAGAAAAATTTAGCTTGGTGAAGGGTTTATTGCGGTCAGCCTTAGTTTTTCTTTTCGCCCTGTGTTACAGGAGTTCGAGGTTCGATAAAGTCTCATTCACTTTCATTTTTAGGTAACTATTGAAATTAAGACAAAGAAAATAACGTAAAATGTTAACCAGTTTTATTGTTAGTGAGGAAAAGTATACAGATGAAAAAGAGTGAGGTACATTTAAGATTTGTATTGACTATGCTCTGAAGCGTACTATAGAGGCTTAATCATTGCTTAAGTTTATAGAAGACTGGTAAGGGTCCCAAAGTACAAACTTCTGTTCATTCAGGGGGAGGGGAGCTGTACAGTCGCGAGGCGTGAATGGTCGATTTTCGATTTTTTTCCCATTGAAAGCTATGGTGAAGAATCGATTATTAAGGTGTTCGATGCGAACATCCTGTTTATCGATACTTCTCGATAGGTTTAAATGGTATATCAATCGATATATCGCGAAGCACGCTATGCCACTGGAGCTGCTGTAGCACGAGATACTGGGTTCCCTGTATTAATCCCATGGAAGTTAATGCTCATAGCTTATTTTCCTTCACGATCAAATGATAAATTTGCTCTAACCCTCGAAGAAACTCATCATGAAAAAAATGTCGATTAGGTATGACTCCAAGCAAAAAGGATAATAACCACTCATCGCACAACAACCCCCCCCCCCCAAAACCAACAACCCCTTATGGAGGGAAACGTATGGGGTTTTTTTTTTTTTTCGATATACATCTGTGCCCTTTTTACAATTATCTTCTTATTTTTGTCATGTTGTATCCTGAGTATCTGCGGCAATATCAAATACTGTCGTGCTAAGGAAAAACTACTCATGAACCTTCGTCAGTTGCCAAATTCCTTTGATCAAAAACAAATTTTCAGGAAAACTTGGGAATATTTTTCTTTCGATTTTTCAGAGAATTTTTTTCGTAATTACATCTACATCATCTGACAATTTCGAGAGAAAATATTCATAACTCTCCTCAAAAATAAAAATTTTACTGGAGGAAATTTGGCAACTTTGAAATGTTTATGCGGCATTTTTCCTTGGCACGGCATGTATAAGTGATCGGAACACGAATTTCTACTGTGATGTTTCAAAATTTTCTTGAATTAACAGATTTAAAACAGATTTGCCGACAATTTTCCGTGGGCGGTTCCGCAACGGAAGCAAAATGTTCCTAAAGTTAGTGCCAGTTTTTGCACGCAAGATTTACACGATTATAAAATATCTTGGTATTTATGGTTTTTTTTACGCCTCTTGGCCTCTGTTATTTATAAATGTAGGTACTTTTATATTACATGGAACGTCCGAGTTTAGGTAATTCTTACATTCGTACGTGTGCCATCATCCACAGGGAAAGAGGCGTCAGTGGCAAATTTTCTAAGGGAACAAATGTCGGCAACTGTGTATTTAGACATTTCGACAGGGAGCGAGCTTCTTAATAATCTCTTTTGCCGATTTAATACGTTCATACCAACAGAAGTGATTGAATGGATTTCAATCAGATAACTTGGTCAGCTTCATATCTAAGTAATGAATAAGTAGGTAAAGCTTTAAATTATTTTCTCTTAGAACTACGCTCCTTGAACAGCCAGCTGCCAACCGCAGTAACATCGGTTTAGCTTGTCATTTTTGGCTGATTTTCAGAGAGAAATGAATCTGTATGCCTTTCACAAATTACTTGATTTTTGTTATCTTTAGTTGGCAGTGAGGTCCCTTTCCCTGCGTTAGGTCACATACAGAGAGCGAAATAATTCCCAAACCACGTATCTCGGTTTGCGACGTTGCAGACTCCCTGTCTTACTTTATTTTTTATATGAAGAACTACTTAACGTCAATCCTCATGAACTTCCATGATTTTTCTTCTCTGTGCGAGAGAAAATGTCAGAAAACTTGAAGAGATGATGTTTTGTTGTTGTTTAACAGGAGCAGAGATTCTTGAACAATGCAAACGAGATACGTTGTTTCGCATTGGCGGATCTGGCAAATTGGCAACACGGTCTTTCCTCCTTTTAAACCTATGGAAATATATCGATCCTTGGAGGGGTCAGGTGCTCCGACAAGAATCGATTATTTAGCGTAGTTTAAATGGAGGAAATCCGGTGTTGCCAAATTGCTAGATCCGCCTCTGCTGGTTTGGGAGTTTCACCCTCGATATTTACTCGGTGTGAACAAAAATAATATGAGTATGCAATTCTTAACTTATTATAGTAAGAAAATGAGTATGAACCTTCCATCTTCGGCTTTAAGTTTTCTTTGCTTCCGCCCTAAATCAGAGGCGGATCCAGAAATTTGGCAACACCGGATTCCCTCCATTTAAACCTATGTTGAGTAATCGATTCTTGTCGAAGCACCCGGTCCCTCCAAGAATCGATACATTTTCATAGGTTTAAACGGAGGAAAATAATGTTGCCAATTCACTGGATCCGCCAATGCCTTAATACTCTGTTAGATGCTCAAGTGAACCCATGAATACTGAAATCAACCGAGATTGGTCAAAAGTCATAGAATTTATACAATTTGGCTACCAGAATGGCCAAAGAAAGTGTGAGGATTGTTGAAGTTGCTGCAGCCGCACCTGAAACAAGATAAAAGAGAGATGTGTTCTTCAAACGGGTCCTCGAATTTTGATCCTAATAAAATTCTGAAGGGGTACGTTTCTGGACCTATAGTGAAAATTTTACAAAGAACGGAGGATTTGATCGGTAAAAGAAACTGTAAAAAAACTGTCCCTTTCTGGGGAAACTTGAGGATTCCGTTTAAATTTAGCTTAAACGGATCACCGAAAAGAAGTGAAGATGATTTAACACTCTGGGTGTAAAAAAAGTGTGCGAGAACTTATGAAATGCTGAATTACCTGATACAGCAGTTAGGCACCTTAGCAATGCCAATGTAAAACTAACTGCTGTAGCGGGGTAATTCAGCATTTTATAAGTTCTCGCATACTTTTTCTACCTCCAGGATGTCAAATCAACTTCACTTTTTTTCGGTGTTAACCGTAATGACTGACAAGACAATCTGCCGGTCAAAGTTTTAGCTTGAGATCAAAGCTCGTTTTGACTTTACAGCGTTGAAAAGTTCACATTTTTTACCATTGAAAAATGCTGATTTTTTTAAGTTCCTCGGTTGAAAAAAAAACAACAACTTTAGTTGATCCCTTTTCATTTTCAGAGGCACAGTGATGATGACTGATGTTACAGCGCCTTAAAAAATATGAAGGAATCTACTAGGCGTAATGTTATTTTTTCAACGGAGGAACTTCACAATATTACTAGCCAGGGCCGGATTAAGAGGGTGGCCACATGGGTCGCGGCCCATGATGGCAAATTTAGGGGGCGGCGAATTTTACAATTTTTTTAAATGCAGGTATGAAAAAAATCGGATTCAGAAAAAAAAATTACCAACGAGAAAAGGCAACAAAATCTCTTTTTCGTGGGAGTATAGTAATTGCTAATTTTGTCGTCATTCGGTGATACAAGAGACTGCACCTTTAATTAGTCAAGTTAAGAGAAAATCCAAACACACGATTTGGCCTGCAGAGAGGCATGATGACCACGAGGACTTGAGGTGTGAAGGAGAAGCCCTCGGCGCGGCGGTCGGTATGTAACACATATTAGCGCCTACAAGGCTGCATGAATGCTTCACGCATTGCGTCAAACACAGTGCTGTCGACGCGGCGCGCGGCGGCGGACATTAACATTATTAAGCCACATTTATGTTTGTTCTTTCATAATTTTTTCGTTCATTTCTCATAAATGGAAGGTCATATCCACACCGAGATAGGTTTACGGAACTTAACTTTCGCGCAAAGTTCCGTAAAATTTTGCTGGTAGTGTTGATGGGGCTTTCGCAAAAAATGTATCCAACACGAGTAAACGTGTCTTATGCACCCCTCCCCCTCCGGCACGTTCACTGGATGGTTTTTATTGATGTTTCAAAACGAATAAGAAGGGGGCGGAAAAATACAGGCGGCCCATGGGCGGCATGTAGGTAAATCCGGTTCTGTTACTGGCATTATTAAATGGTAAAAATGTAAATGAAATTGTTGAAAGTTAACTTTTTCTGACGACTCACCAATGAAATTAAGTTGGAAAATTCCGATTTAATTTTATTGGTGAGTCGCTAGAAGAAGTTAACTTTCAACTATTTTAGTGTATAAGTGTGCGACTTTTACATACTAGCGTTATCAAAAAAGTCATCCTTGGAACGCTGCATTGCTAAAACGAGCTTTAGACTCAAGCTAAAACTTTCACTGGAGAATTATTTCATCATAAGGTTTCCTTCAGGTCACATCTGAAAGAAAGTCCAAAGTTCCTCAAATAAACCGTACATAAAGGCCCTTCTTTGATAGCCTCTTTCCCGCTCAGACTTTATATTTCGTACATATGACCATTATCTGACCATTGGCGGATCCAGTGAATTGGCAACATTATTTTCCTCCGTTTAAACCTATGAAAATGTATCGATTCTTGGAGGGGCCCGGTGCTCCAACAAGAATCGATTATTCAACATAGGTTTAAATGGAGGGAATCCGGTGTTGCCAAATTGCTGGATCCGCCTCTGATTATCTCAAAACTTCATTTTTCCTTTTACCACTCTCTTCGATAACACGGTAGAGTAGCCAAGTGTAATTTTTAAAATGGAAATGACAGGTATCGTTGCAAACGGCGGGGGCACGCAAAGGAAGGGGGGGGGGGTATGCCCCCGCTCGGATGGGTGGAAGACGAGAGACTCGGATAGCGGTGATAATATAAATAATTTGTTAATCCGCCGTGGCCTTGGGAAATTAAAAGCGAGGTAACCTTTCACGCGACACCAATAACCCGATCCTCCGAAGGCCCGGGGGAGGGCAGCGTCCGGCGGGCGGCCCGCCCGGAGATTGAAGGGGCATTCGTCCGCTGAAACGCTCCCGTGCGCCGGGAACATTCAGATTCGGCGAACGTAAAACCCAACCATTCGGTTCCGCGATGAACCCGGGCCTGCGAGTATTCTGAAGGGTCTCAGAGGTCACCGGCGAGAAGGACTCGGTCGCTTTCGACGCCGACCGATCCATTTCTGCACGGCAATCGCTGTGCTCTCAAGTGGAATGGCTACAATTCCTCACTCGTCGAGCGATAAAGTGATTTATCGGCTCTGAGAACCACGAACGCATTCGTCGTGCTCTCTGAGGGAAGGAAAGAACTCGAACGCACGTAATGTATACGTAGGTCGAACGTCCATAAAAAAAACTAACGCTCTGAAGAGGGGGGGGGGTCTAGCTTGTGTTACAGAGCGGGAGATGGGAGTCAAGCTACTGCAGCGCTCACATTCCATGACCGTCAAAAGTTCAGGAATTCGGAACTTTTTTGTTTCAATTTCTTCCGTTCCATGACCATCAAAAGTTCCGGGATTCTTTTTAGATTTATTCAAAAGTTCCGAAAAAGTTCCGGAAAATGCAAAAGATCCGGAACCTCTCGAGAGTTTCAAAATGTCCGGGAAAAATTCAGAAGAACCTTGGAAATTCCGAAATTTGGAACTTTTCTGTTTTAATTTCACCTACTCCATGACCATCAAAAGTTCCGAGATTCTTTTTAGATTTTTTCAAAAGTTCCGGGAAAGTTCCAAAAAATGCAAAAGATCCGGAACCTTTCGGGAATTTCAAAAGTTCTGGGAAAAATTCCGAAATTTGGATCCGGGAAATAGGAGCACTGCCTTCGTAATCGCAGGAGTCCCAGTCCTTTCTTATTCCTCCTTCCCTCAGAGGATATGGGACGCGTATGAAATATTAGCAGGTGATGTGATGGTCGCGTGAGAGGGGAAGAAAGCAATATAGTCATCCGGATCCCGGATGAAAGCTTCGTTCGTTTGATGCACGAGCAAGCATCACGATTAAACGGCTTTGTCGTCATTTCTCTCTCGTGGCAACTGCTTCTAAATCAAGAGCAACATTAAACATTTTGACATGAGACGTGTTTGTAGGCCATTCAAAGCGGATGGAAGGCACACGGCCCGACCCAAGGTGTCTTCGATAATTATGTTTTTACCGTGTATCGAGGACCAGAGGGATCACCCCTATTTGTAGAATGAGGTTCTTCGTCGCGAAAAACATATTGTGGGGGAGGAGGATCCGAAGTCGGGAAGATTGAATACTGGCATATGTGCGGTCGTTTGAACAGACGTGTCGTACGAGTTTCAAGGGAGGGATGGGGGGTTAGATGGATATTAAAGGGCCGCTCAGGTACTAGGTACGTAAGCCAAACTGCCGAATTTTTTACCCTCCTCACGGTGGCGATTCTTACAAGGTGGCAACACTGCTTTTTCTTTTTTTTAAATGTACGTTACACCGCAATCACACGCTGAAAGTGGGAGCTGAATGTGGCTTGAATGTGGAAGTCATCGGCCCGATGTCTGAATTTGGCGCGTGACGCGCAAAATTCAGCAACGATTCTCAGCAACCATCGGACCAATTTTGAATTTGTCAGAACTATTCGAGTAGATTTGATACACATCTGGATGAAAATAACTAGAATTTGCTAAATTTCAGCCGTTGGGCGATGACTGTTGACTTCCACATTCAGCTGCTAAATTCAGCGTCTGATTGCGGCATCTAGGTCTGGATACGATCAAATTCCGAACCAATTCTGATCAAAGTAGACCAGCTGATGACTGATAGTCACCATGCAACAGTCCTCTTTGATGAAAATTGGACGGGCCGTCAAATTTTGATCAGAATGGAGAGCCATCATTCATCATTTCCTGCCGCACGAAACATTTCTGCTAAGTTTTCATTTTAAAACTAATATAAGCAAAGTTATGATTTTAAGACTGATGACCAGGGCCGGATTTACCTACTTGCCGCCCATGGGCCACCTGTATTTTTTCGCCCCCTTCTAATTCGTTAAGCGAACGTGCCGGTGGGAATCGGTGTATGAGACGCGTTTACTCGTGTTGGGCACATTTTTTGTGAAAGCCCTGTCAACACTAACAAAAGTTCACGGATCTTCAGGCGAAAGTTAAGTTCCGTAAACCCATCGCTGTTTGGACAAGGCCTTCCATGTATAAGAAACGAAAGAAAAAATTATTAAAGAACAGACACATAATTTCAACTTCCGCCGCTGCGCCGACCGCACTGCGTTTGGCGCAATGCGTGAAGTATTCATGCAGTCTTGTAGGCGCTATGGGTTTCATGCCGACTGCCGCGCCGAGGGCCACCATTGCTCTTTGCGCCGCTCCGCTTAAGGTCAAATTGCATGTTTGGTTTCTCACTTAACTCGACTAATTAAAGGTGTTGTCTCTTGTATCACCGAAAGACGACAACCTTAAAAATTAATATACTTTTACTTTCAGGAAATGAGAGATTTTGTCGCCTTTTCTCGTTTGTAATTTATTTTCTGAATCCGATTTTTTCCTCTTTTTTTGATACCTACATTAAAAAAGATTATAAAATTTGCCGCTCCCAACATTTTGCCGCCATGGGCCGCGATCCATGTGGCCAGCCCCTTAATCCGGCCCTGCTGATGACTCCCGACACTTTGATGGTAATTGGTTCGGGAATTTGATCGTGTATCGAGACCTTATAACAATCGATGGATTTAAATAGAGTATTAACAGTGATGCTAACTCGCTGGAATGGCCACTGCCCGCCCCCACAAATTTTTCCAAAAAAACAACGCCGAAGACTTAAAAAAGTGCTTTAAAAAAAATAGTTTTGTGGGTGAAATTACCATTTTATTTTCCGCTGAGCTATTACGCTTGACTTATCTAAGAAAGTCTGGTCAAAAAAACACGAGTTTTACGGGAAAAGACCATTCGCGGTCAAGTTAGCGATGAGGACTTACCGCTGCATTCGTTATCTATCTCTTCGTAGTTCTCTTTACAATAGCACATCATGGTTGGGTTGTAGGACGAAGCGTTCGCTTTGCACTCCGAGTTGGACGTCCCACAGTCGTAGTCCGAGCGGCAGGGCTGGTGCAACGCTGGAACAAACAAAGGGCCTGCGTTCTGTCATTTGTCGGGTGTCTGCTAAGCAAAAGCATCTTATCCGCCTGAGAATTCAAAAGCATGCAAGCAAACCCCCCACCCTTGCAACTACTAGACAGATTTAAGCAAAAGAGTCATTATGGACCTGTTGCAAATTTTTGTTGGAGCGATAAAAATAGTTTCTTCTTAACGAGGGTGGCTTGAAAACCACTATGAACACATCAAGAAAGTTTGAAATTCTCACCTAGCTTCATAATCTGCGTGAAAAATATGCGCATGCATTTTTGAGCTTTTCACTTGAAAAAGTCTACCACGGCAAAGACAGGGTTTGATGCAGATGAATCACCCTGTTTTTCCAGGCCCATCCGAAACTCAAAATGTACGCCGCGCCATGTCTTGTGACACAGTTCTTCCGGGAGTAAAATAAATTTTTTTTAAAAATTTTACTTCCTCTTATTGAACCTAACTAGGTAATTAGGGAAATAATAATGTCGGGTCAACGACGTTTACAATGTTTTTTTTCTGTATTTTTCTGTTTTTTTTTTGGTTTTATTAAAAAAACTGCAACACGTGACGGTGACCATTGAGTTTCGCATGGAGTTGTGAGCCGGGGTGATTCGAGTTCCAAATTATACGTCGTTGCCTCAGGATACTTTTTGAGGTGGGAAGTTTGAAGATGCGCAAATTTCTCACACAAATCGCGGTAGGGGTGAATTTTAGACTTATTCGGTGTGCTCATCCAAGCGCTGCAGCTCATTTTTCTTGCTCCAGAAAAAGTTTAAAACAGACCAATTACATTAGGAGCAGTGATTCTTCTTCCTCTATGCATATGGTTTTGTAATCATGCAAGGTCATTCGATCAAGACTCGATTGAGTTGTAATAATCAGTCGTGCAATGGATGCAACTATTTATGTTCAGCGGTTATCCGTTTTGCACAGACTAATAAATGAAGGCGCAATGTGGGCCGATTTTTAAAACTCGATCGCGCAATCTGTCAAATGACCTCGATCAACAAATCAATTTTTTTTCATTGATGTCATTCGACTTAAGAGCATCAAAGTCTCGATAATCAATTCGCAGAACTTTTACGAACCCAGTCACTTATCGACTAAATATTACTGATCGATACTCGATTTATCTATGAAACTGAAAAAAACGCGCATCCCGATTGCGGTGTTTCAACATCTCCGCTCCTATTAGTATTTTACTGATAAATTCTGTCTCATAAATTCCAGTAATCGCTAGAAAAGCTGTTGTGTCGAGCGCTTTCGTTGCAAAAGCTGATGCATTAAAAGATGTAGCAAAAGAATTAAACACTATGCAATAAAATAGAAGGGTTGAAAGTGCAGGAATTAGTGCGTAAAAATCTAGAAATTATCCCCCAAAAACATGAAATTCTTTAGCAGGCCTCATGTAGAGAATCAAGCGGTAAGCAGCAAAAAGTTCTTCGATAATCATGCATAAAATCAGGATAAATTTTAAGGAATAAAATAATGGGTATGTTCAAGGAAATTTATTTCATCAATGCCGATTGAATCGTTCATTTCGGAAGCGACTCAACTTTGAAAATTTTAAAACATTGTTCAATTGCAGATAGAAAGGTTTTACGGGCGAATTAATTTTTTGTGTGTGTGTATTTTTTCTCCATTTATCTTTTTCTAAAAAAATTGTGTGACCCTTTCTAAAGTTGGCATTGTGGAATCTCGGTCAGTTTGAAACCGACTCTTCCCTGAAATTTGTATATCTCTTAACTTAATTCAACTGTCTTATGACAATTAGACGGTTAAGTCAGTTATACATCTCAGGTAGGTATATCTTCGCTGAAATTCGGCCAATTCCATTTTCTGCGAGCTCTAAAGAAAAATAAATATTTACTCATGTGATCTATACGTGTAAGTAGCGTAATTTTGTAGAATTATAGACTCTGAGGGTGGTATTAAAAAAGAGAAATAGAAAAATAATCGGTTGAAAAAACATGCTTAAATCAGCATCACTCGAAGAAAAAAATTACTATATTTAAAGCAATTTCGACGCATAGCTGTCAAATCTCAGGAAAACATTTAAGAGCATTAAGACTAGTTTTACTTCAAATAATTAATATCTCAATTTTTTTCAAAAACTGCACTTATGCGCCTTGTCCTCCAAGCTCCTTATAGGAAGTACGGAGCTGGGTGGTTCTAATAGACATAGGGGGTAAATAATGGACTAACTATAGGGTGTTTCATGGGTTGCCGTTAGTTAGTCCATCACCTACCTCCTATGTCCATGGTAACCACCCGCTTTCACCAATAGGATCCCTCCATATCCTTTTTGAATTCTTTGTCTATAGCTTTGTCTATCAATGTCAACAATCAGCCAGCAGTTCTAGCCATTGTATCCTAAAAAATGAACATTTGATTCCGAGGTCTCGGCCAGCCGTTCGTTTCATGCCGCTCTGCTTCGTCATCGTCCAATGGCCAAGGGATTTGTCAACGGAGCTTAACTTACGATTGCATACTATTTCTTTCTTTTTTTCGCGCGTTTAACTCAAATCCGTCGTATGATTTTAGCTCTCTTGCAAACGTTCTCGTGTCACGCGAGAGTCACTCGCTCTTTTTTATCATCGCTTTGAATGTAATTATTATGTTTGTTAATTTTTTCGCTTTCCCCTCCGTTCGTCCCTCCGCAACATTGCACCCAAGTGGTGGTTCGGAACGGAACGCCAGAAACTCACGTGCAGGTTGGACAAATGGATTGCAATTTTTATTTGTTTTATCAGGCTCGCGTTTTCGATGCTGTCAATTTTCCACGAAAACTTCGAATTAGCATTCGGCTCAATTTCCGGAAAGAAATTCTGTTATGGATGTATAGTGAGAACTAGGATGGTTGGATATCAAAATTAAAGATTACATTGCAATCAGAAGGGGTACGAGAGCTCTAAATACAGTTGTTAAAAAGTTTTTTTCAAATTAAAAAAACATTTCTTTGATTTAAAGGAGGTTTTCGGTTCAAAAACATTTTTTCCTTTTTTTGTAAACAATTTCGTATGATTCAAATTTTTTTATTGATATTTTTTTCTAAATTAAGTGAGATGCAACATTATCACTGATAAAAAAAACCCTCATTCAACCCCTCCCCCCCCCCCCATTGCAAAATTTAGTCTAACTCATCTTGGATGAAGCGAAGACTTGCCTCGGTTCAATGAACGGAGCATTTGGTAAAAATACCTGAAGACGGCTAATGTTGAACTTTGAATTTTTGAGGGTGGCACGCTTCGCGTTTGTTCGTGGGAAGTAAAATTCAATTGTCTGAGGGCGTATCGTGTGCTCTTGAATTACCAGCCTTTCAGTTTTTGGTAAGTATTTTATTGCGTGAGTCTTGACTATTCTTAGCCGTGGGCTCGGTGCTTCGCTTTTATGGGCACTCCAACCTTGCGGGAGAACAAACGTTGTCGCCCCCGCGTTGATATGATTGTAACATTAGTCCTAGCACCAAAATTAGCAAAATCAATACATTTTTGTCTTAAATTCCTCCTTATCATTTCCCGGTAGAAGTAGTGGCGTTGCGTGCTTTGCGATATATCGATTAATCTGCCATTAAAATCTAGGTAAAAGGATCGATTATCAAGGTGTTCGCGACGAACACCTTAATAATCGATTCTTTACTACAGCTTCAAATGGAGAAATATCGATAATCGATCATTCACGCTTCGCCACCAGGTCGAAGGAACGTAACTCCGTCCCAAGCTTGCAAAATTGACTAAAAAATTCGATTTTTTACAAGAATATACCCACGAAATTTTCGTCTAAATTTTTCCGATTTTTGTATGAAATCAGATGCAAAATCAGTGGATTTTTTTTAGAAATACCCAAAAATCTACAGTTAAAATTTTAATTATAGCAAGGGGGAATTTTGTCAACATTAAAATGTACTTACGCTCTTTCGTTTGTGAAAAGGCAAATTGTCTGAATGGAATCTAAGACTAGATAAGAATTTGAGCACAATTCAAAAGATTTCGTCTTAGAATGTCACGAGAGTAAGAAATCATACAACGAGAAGTGTAGAAATAATATAAGCTCCAAAAAAGCTATGGAAGTTGACCATGAACATTGATTGGATGGCAACTATTAAAATGACATTTCCGAACTTTCCGTTGTCTGAATCTTTTTTGCGTGAGATTTTGTGGAGTAAACGTGTGACGCTTTTTCTAGTTTTGACCTTGTATGATGTATGACCCATTGAAACTATAAAACTCGGGCCTTGAAACTTAACCATCATATGTTTGTTTTCTGAATTCAAAAACTTGAATGTTGTTTTGGGGGGAATTTAACTTTCCTTCTCGTCAAATTATTTCCATTCGTTATTGGTTTTTGACGCTTTTTCGGCCATAACGTGAACATTTCCCTTCAACTAATACGGTTTTCCTTCGACCGAAGTGACAACGACCTCGTCTACAGCGATGTTTTTTTTCTTTAGCCCCTACTGGAATCTTTAAGATCGGAGAAATTTTTGAATCGAGTGGCTATGAAAGATTTCGCAATAATTAAAATTAATGGAAATTTAAGGATATACCCTAACTTTTCGTCAAAGATTCCGTTCCGATAGTTTTAATATATACTAATATATGATGTTCTGATTTCAAGGAACTGGAAACCAATGTGCTCCGAAGATTACGCGATTTTAAATGAAAAATCTATTCTATCAAACTTTACACAGTTTCAAAAAGGCTCTCTTCATGGAGCTTTTGAACCGATTAATATGATTTGATTGACAGCCTGAGTAAAATCGCAAGACAGGGCTACATTTTACAATACGGAACTACTATTTCTTGCTCATCAATAAAAGCATCTATCTACCAACGAAAACTGATGGTACGTATGTTGTTACTTAAATAAGCTAAAAATAGCAGTTCCTCACTGTAAAATGTAGTCCAATTCTATCGTCAACCCGTGGGATACAACTATTCGCGCTCGGCGGCTGTCCCTCTTGCATAACTAAAAAATTGAAGGCGCACTGTGGACCGATTGTGGAAACTCGACCTTAAGTGACATTATCCGATCTCAAAATGTTGTTTGTTGATCAAGATTTTTAATTTATTCCTCAAAGATGACAATCTGCGCTCGGAGCACTATTCCAATAAAACCTCTCTTCCTACTTTATCGCAGTTTAATTGTTTTAAATAGTCACGATAAATTTAATGAAAGCTTCTATTCACGAATTCATGAGTTCACTGACCCATTTCGAAACTTCTCGCAACAATTTAGACTGCCCCTGCACGAAAGCTGTATCAAATCTTATTTCTCTCTTTAGGTCAATCTCGCTACCTATTGAATTTCTTGATCCAACGTAAATTAATTCGTCATCTCCACCCCATTCCAACTACTTGCGACCTTGAACTCAAAAAAGGAAGAAGACAATCACATTATCTTCAAAACTGTTGTACTGCTGGAAAAGCGCTTGGACATTCAGTTGTTGCCAAATTTCACCTAGTAAATAATTTATTTTCGAGACATTTTTTTAAATATTTTCTTCCAAAATGTTTGGATACATCAGGTTAAATTATGATTGAAATTCTAGGAAAATTTGAAGAAAAATATTTATCTATAGAAAGTATTCGAGTTTCAATAGTGAAATTTTTTAACATCTGCATGCTCATCCGTTATTTTTCTTGAACACTTCGGAAGATCTTCCTTTTCTCTATTTTTTCTTTGGTCCTCGACTACACCCTGAGTTTATACGTCCTTCCGAACCGAACAAACACTCGTGCTACCAAATGATTTACACAGAAAAATGAGTGCCAAACTGCCAATGCGGAAAATCTTTGAGATGATAATTCCCGTGAAGCCCTCGAATCGCAAGGCTATGAATAATGGGCAAAGTTTCACAATATTTTGTAGAGCTGTGCAAAGCTCATTACACGTTAGTTTAACAAAGAGTGGTTCAGTTGCGTCTAGTTAATCAGACAAACCCACCCTCCTCCTCCTCTGCTTAAAATCTCTAACAGCTCTCTCTTAGGACGGGGTTGTTAGCCATTATTGTCACAAAAAATTGCCAGCATTTTCAGGTATAATATTTTATAGGAAAGTATTCCGTACATATTCTCAGGTTTAATGATGTCTTATAATGTATTGTATGAATTTTTAAAAAAATGTAATTCAAGGTGGTGTTATCTAAAAAAAAATATTGTTTTATCAAAAGTAGATGAAACTGCAGATTATGAAATAAAGAATGGAAAAACACCCCCAAAACGCTAGTAAGAGACTAAATCAACACTGCAGCAATATTTTTCAATGCATTACTACTAGAAATGAAAGAAATACTGTCTAATTACTTGATGAATATTGATTGAATACTACTGAAATCGATTAGTATTATTTTTTCAGCGTTGATATAACTCAGCATGTTAACTCTTGAGCATATTAACTCAGCACCGAGCTGATATAAATTCAAGAATTGAGGGATTCTTTTGAATAACCACGATAAGATTTTACCCTATTGCTAGATTGTCCGTTTTTGACTATATTTTACATCGAATCAACTACACGTGCCCTTATGATTTTTTCACAAAAATGTGAATGAACTTATGGAGTACATCCGTTGAAAATATCATAGCGACGACTTCCAACTGGATTGACTTTAACAGGGACACATCAAGTCGCATCAAGTTTGGATCGACTTAAATAGCACAGATTGCAATTAATTGCAAATATAGGGTAACATTATTGCCATAGTACTATATATTGATGGAGTGTTATGTTTGCTGTCTATTCACCGATCGGAAGGGGCTTCTCTTATTGAAATTTATTGCAATAAAATTAATAAATAAGTTGCTTTATTTTCTGCATTTTATTAATCGTTTAAAATTGACCTTTATTGACCAAATGATGTAGGAATATTGCAATTTCACGATAAAAAAAATTTCAATTTCATCACATTCAATTGCAAGATAATATTTAAATATTTTCGTTGAACCAAGCTACATGCGATTAGATCTCCATGAACCACGCTTAAGTGTACACAATCTTAGCAGCATATCAAAGGGCGCGCGAGGTTACTCAAAAGAAGCACTCAACTTTTGGAACCAATGTCGACCTCGTCACCCTACGGCCAAAGTATATCATAAGCACCATGCGACGTTTCAAAATTTTCCACGCCATGTTATTTTTTTATAGAGAAATTGTTGTTTGAATCTGTTCGAAAATTTCACCGAACTTTATCGGCAACACAAAGAGAATTCAGTGAAATCTTCGGATCGCTCGCACCAGGCGACGTTTCCAAATTTTCCACGCTATGTTATTTTTTTACAGAGAAATTGTTGGTTGAATCTGTTCGAAAATTTCGCTGAATTTTATCGGCAGCCCAAAAGAAGATTAGAAATCTTTGGACAGCTCCGTTGAAAAATTATCTCCCTCTAAAAGATGAAATGGCGGCGGAAATTTTGAAACGTCACACTCAAGGGATCGGTTCAATGGCAGAGGTCGGACAAAATTTGAAAACTTTAATAGCTTAAAACTCCGTTCATAAAAAAACTTTGAGGTCTGAGTGGTTTCATTGGTTTCGTCGTGAATTTTTTTTTCAGAAACACGCCTTAAAATTTTAAATGTGACGAATTAAACATAAAAATCTGCAGTTTTACTTGAAATTTGTCATGTCCGACCACTCTGTTTTACTCGATCCACTGTGCTTCACATGGAGCTTAAGATAATTTGGACTAAATTTTGCAATTTTGAACCATAAATTCTGGATCTCCTTGGAAAACACTTATGTGCATAGGGAACACAATGGCACATACGTTGTTTTTAAACCGGGCTAGAATCTATAGTTCCGAATTGCAAAGTGTAGTCCATTTGGCCGGAAGGCGACGACCTATCACTGCCTGGGAGTCCTGGCACGGATCCACAGCCCCTCTCCGAGGCGGCTCAAAAGAGAAGCGCAGCGTACTTACGTTTCTTATTCTGTGCATTCTGATTTTGATTCTGGTTCTGCTGGTTCTGCGAGCCGCCGCCGCCGAAAGTCGTCAACCTTTTACTCCTCTTCAGCTCCGGGGAGCCTTCGGGGGCCTCGACGACCGAGGCGTGGAAAACGTCCAGGAAGAGCACTGACACAAGCACCACCCAAAACACGCTCATGTTCACGGGAAACGACGAGGAGGCAACCGGGAGACTCTAGAAAGAACTGAGGTCGGAGTCGGGTGACCGAAGACGAAGACGCATGGCCGAGGAGGGATCGGGACGACTGGGACTCGCTGGTCGAGGTAAATGAAGTGCGAGGTTCATGGGGTCTGAGGTTCGCGTGCAAGGGGCGCTTTATCCTGCTTTACAATCAAAGCCTGGGTGCTGGCTCCTCCACTCTCTGCAGCCTGCCTTAATAACGCAGTGCTCCTGTCCTCCGCCGGAACCGCGTATCTCCGCCGGGGTCCCGGCCGCAGTTGCGCCGTTCTCGGTGAGCCCCGAAGAGAACTCGCGGCCATGCGCCACTCGCCGTTCCCGACTCGGTGTTCGCCATTCACCGCTGGCGCTGGGTCTCGTGCCTGCATCGGGGGACTCGGCGTCTAGCTGGGGTGCGCTTCCACAGGCATCGCGCGACGAGAAACTGGACGTCCCAAGTCATAGGTAGAGTACGTATACGTATACGAGAGAGGATGGAGATGTTGTATGTGTGAGGAGTGTGCGATTTGACTATTGATTTTTATGTAAAAGTTCGCGAGAAACACGATGGTGTCACTGGTTTTCTCTAAAATCAACTCCCAGGCTCCAAAAAAGCTCTCAAGTTGAGGTCAAAATGGAGGGGATCCGGGATATCCCACGCTAACCTGAGTGTCCACCTCTACATCAAGACAAACTCTCCATGCAAAGATAGGGAGCAAATACATTAGCAGGGTTGCCGTGTTTTCAGTTTTGAAATTCCCAAATAAAGTGGCAGCCCTGTCAATGTATTTGATCCCTATCTTTGCATGGAGAGTTTGTCTTGATGTAGAGGTGGACTCTCAGGATAGCGTGGAATATCCCCTCCATTTTGGTCTCAACTCGAGAGCTTTTTTTTTTCCTCACACATGCAACATCTCCATTGACTCAACCTACTGTGTGTCGGGCAGTTGGCTTTGGCCCGTCCAGTTCCGTGTCACGCGCTGTCAGTGTAACCGTGGTTTTACTTTCGCCGCTCCAGCTGCTTCTTTGAGCTTTAGCTCAGAAAAATTCAGCATGCCAAAAAAAAGTTATAGTTTTTTGCTGCTCTCTAAAAGTTAAACAAGACGTTCCAACGCGATCGCGTTAGAGGGCGCTTCTCTCAGTGGCAGAAGGAAGTAACATAGTTGCCCATAATTTTTCAGTGTTAAAAAAGAACCATGAAAAAAAATTCCCCCTGGCGAGGTAACGAGCCCCAACCTCCAGGGTTGAAGTCGGGCGCGGTGGTACTCAGCCACGCTGGAGGCGCTGTTGCAAATCGAGAAACTATTTAACTAAATTCAGAAACTATTTAACTATTTCACTATTTAACTAAAAAACGGACTTTTAGGTCGGAAAATTAAGAGGCGTGTTCAGAAATTACGTGCGCTCATTGGCCACATGCCTCGCAGCTGTTTAGCGTCTTGGCCCAATTGATTGGCCTTGAAGAATTAAATCAATCAATCGTTCAATATAAACGTCTGATTTTGGCTGATTGGTGATTTCTTTCCAAAATTTTGCTGTGTTTTGCGTGTGTGAAGAAGAAAGTAATTAGAAATGTCGAAAAGTCCCTGCAAAAATACAACTTGCGAGTGATCATTTTGCAACACTAACCTGTAGATGTTCCTCCGCCCGCGGAGCGCCGGCCGTACCATCAACTCAGGGGATACAACTATTCGTGCTCTGTGGATGTCCGGATTGCATACGCAAACCCTTGAAGGCGTTTTGCTGGCCGATCGAGTTGAGTTACATACGTACGTCATTTGCCGCTCTATGTAAACAAGTAATTGTTGGCTATTTGGTAAAAATGTGTATTACGCTTTGCTGTAATCATCAATTAGCGGCAAATGACACTTTTTTTCTGGGGTTTTTTTCTCTCATTTTTAATTAGAAAGATATGTGCAAATTCACATTTTTTTCGATAAGTGATCGACTCTAAGGTTTGAAAATGTTAATGTCGTACTGTTGAGTAGTTTTTTTGCCGCGAGGCTCTCTTTGAAAACGTACTAACTTGCGCCAAAAAAATTTTCCACTCTTCAAAAACTCCCGGCTGAGTGTAGTGTTTTCGGTTTCCTGTAATTTTATTTTCCAGAGTTGGGGAATTTTTGAAAACAGCAATTCAATTTTCCTCGTTAAAGTGGTTTATTTTCCTGAGTTTGCCCTCCTTACTCACCAGAGGCCTCTAATAATATCCCACTTGAGGCTTCTAATAAGTGTTAAAAATAAGTGTCTAATAAAAGCTTCAAATGTTACCCGGGGATCTTCGTGTGAAAGTGCAAATTATTCTTGGAGAATCCCCGTGAAATAATTGCATGATAATTAATCATGCATCTGTCGCAGGCCATAATTCTTACAAGACAACTATTAATGCTGCAGCCCAGCGACGCGATAACAAGCGCCAAGTTCCGGTGTCTATTTAAACGAAAAAAAAAAACAGGTGTCCTTTGCTACATAGAGTAAAAAGAACCATGACACCTTTCCAGTCGAGGCGCTAAACACGAACAGTGTAACACCGACTTTTTTTAAATATCAGTGGCGTGGTGCTTTGCGATATATCGATTGATCTGCCATTTACACCTATGAAAAAGGATCGATATGCAGGGTGTTCGCAACGAACACCTTATAATCGATTCTTTACCACAGCTTCAAATGGAGAAATATCGATAGTCGACCATTCACGGCTCGCCGCTGATTAATATACATATAAATGCTGATTATGGGGCACAGTCGTTCAGCACGGAGAAAAAACATTGGTCACACGAACTGAGTTTCGGTCGTTGTGGAAAACTAAAATTGTTGGTCTATAGGTGCCTTACAGCTTGGTTTTTAGTAATAAAAACAGAACTTAGGTTCAGCTACATGAAGTCTTTGATATATAAAGAATGGATCTAACTCTAAGTGTGGGTAGTTAGTTAAAACGTTGATTGCCTAAACTTTTTCCTCGGTTCAAATGACTGAAAGTTTCGGTAACCGGGACCAGAAACTTTGGCGTTCCATATGAAACATACTTTTGAAATCATTAATATAAACTTCGAAGGATTCTACTTTTTTCACCTTTTATTCGTTGCCAGATTGTCCGATACATGTGAATATTTTTCATGGGTTTGAACTGAGAAAAGTGCTGAAAAAGCAACAGAAAATAGAGTCTGCGAGGGACGAGCCTGGGAAAACCTACGATGTAGCCGGAAATTGGTTCAGTTTGAAGCATCAAATGTATTCTAGGGAGAGACATTTTAAAATAATAATTGTAAATGGACATGGATGCTACAAAAAAGAAAAAATGAAAGGAAAAGGAAATGAAGTGAGGTTATGATTACTTATGCTATCAGAGAGAATGAAACAAAAACATCCAAGAAATTTATATGCAATGAAGCTATAAGAAAAGAACACAAGTGGGCTCATAGCGATTCGGAACTTAAACTATACTATCGTTGAGCAGTTTTTAGACGCCAGTATACGCCACCGCTAATCTTCTCAAGAAGTAAGGATGAACTTTTGCTACTTCAGCGAGTTAAATCACGGAAGGAGATTCACGGTTGTCACTTTCCTCCCCAGTCAAATACGTTTTTGAAGAAATGATCGATCCCCATTATTGCTTCATCTCCAGATATTTATTAATGCAAAAATGAAGGTTGACAAGGTCCGAAGACCAGGTTTTGTGACAAAATAATTTTTGTCTGAGGAGTCACCAAAATATATACACCGTAGTGATCAAAAATGTCCAACTATACTTAGAAGAATGGCTCGCCGAGCAGGCCGAATATCACTCGCTCGGCAAGTGACCGGGGGTCCAGGGAGCGCAGCCCCCCGACTTTTCGCGACGGACGCGCGAAGCGCGCCCAGATCGGCAATATTTTAGAAACTTTAAAGGAGAAATTCATGTTTCGAATTTCTTTTTTTTCTATTTCAAGCAGGTATTTTGCTTAACGCAAGGCAGTGCTTGATCCCCTGTCATGACCTAATTAGACGCATTTCTGATAAAAACAGCTATGTAAAAATTAATCGAATCAAAAGGACCTACAAACATAGGTTTTGCGTGCTTCATAAACCATTTTTATTTAAATCATTTGTACATAATTCCTTTTAACATAATTACACGTACAAACAGAGGGGCAGTCGTGCGACGAAAACATGCAGGATGATAAGAGAGAGGAAGATCTAAAGGGTCGGAATAATTGGGTGGAAAGGTTACCGAATAGCATGACGATTTGCCCCTGTGCTGACCTTATCCAAAGGTAAATGGGTTTAGGTTAAGTCATTCGTTCGTTTGAATGACAGACCCAGATCGCACTTGGACGATGCCGTGCTGAATCAGAACCACCTAATTCCAATGGAGATACGAGGTTTCTTTACGTAAAGAGTACCACGATATCAATCAAGAGCTAGACAAACTCGATTGAATCGGGCGATGGTGAAACCTGGAGAGTCTGTTATCTGATGAGCCACGAGATGGCTAGGTTCTTATGGATGCCAGGGTTCATCAGGAAAAGGACTTAATCGGTCTCGACGTTGAGCGATTCAATTCCTCCACTGATCTATTATTCACCCCAATTATTCTCCGTGCTCGTGTAGTCACAGTTTGCCCACGTCGCCACCCCACACCGCCCCCGCAAATGTTTAACTATTTACCCTCTCTCATCAACTCATCATTCGGCTAATTTTCTCCTTTTTCACGGAGCAAACAAGCAGCCTTGCTTTAATTTTTAGTAGCGATAAAACCCGCGCTTTGCACGAGATGTTTGGTCAAGGAGCTGGAAAAAAAAGAATTACCATGGCCCAACAGACGAGTTATGAGAATCCACGACGATTCACGCAACGGGAAGTTCAATAAGTAACCTCTAATTGGACCGAGTTTATTAGAAAGGAACCAACCCACGTAAAGTTGAAACAAAAGGCCTGGATACACGCTCAAATTTCCATCAATTTCCGGTGAATGGTGCGCACCATCTACCATCAATTTTTTGCGGCCTGCAAAAATTTGATGGTAGATGATGGAACTGTGGGTCTCATCCGCCATCTGATTTCCACACAACCATGCTTATTTCATGCTTGTTTCAATCAACACGCTGTTTTAATTAATTTTAAATAAAAAGATAACTCTCGACCGCCATTTTTGTCATCATTTTGATCGCAAATTATTGACGGAAATTTGAA